TATGACCACGAGTACAGACACACTGCTTGATGCCCTACACTACTGCCTTCTGGGCCGGGTTAATTCTGAATTTTTAACAGCGGTTTAAACCTCGCTAGCTCGACACCAGGATTTTCTGAGTAATTATTTGATAATATTCTATAGGCTTTTCATTGAGCTATGATTTCGATATTAAATTCATTGTCTCATTATGGCATTTCGTCTTATATATAATTTATAATTATGACTGCATTTTTATCAAGTTTAATTTAGTTTATTCCATAGCACTGTGTCACATGGGTATACTGGGGCTCTTGTGACAACACTTAGATTCTGGTAAACCTGCATGAGTAATAAATATTGCTGGTGTGGAGGCCAGTGTCCCGGCACACATGTGTGCTTGAGGCTTGGTATTATTGGAGGTGTGGAGGCCAGTGTCCCGGCACACATGTGTGCTTGAGGCTTGGTATTATTGCAGGTGTGGAGGCCAGTGTCCCGGCACACATGTGTGCTTGAGGCTTGGTATTATTGCAGGTGTGGAGGCCAGTGTCCCGGCACACATGTGTGCTTGAGGCTTGGTATTATTGGAGGTGTGGAGGCCAGTGTCCCGGCACACATGTGTGCTTGAGGCTTGGTATTATTGGAGGTGTGGAGGCCAGTGTCCCGGCACACATGTGTGCTTGAGGCTTGGTATTATTGCAGGTGTGGAGGCCAGTGTCCTGGCACACATGTGTGCTTGAGGCTTGGTATTATTGCTGGTGTGGAGGCCAGTGTCCCGGCACACATGTGTGCTTGAGGCTTGGTATTATTGCTGGTGTGGAGGTCAGTGTCCCGGCACACATGTGTGCTTGAGGCTTGGTATTATTGCAGGTGTGGAGGCCAGTGTCCTGGCACACACGTGTGCTTGAGGCTTGGTATTATTGCAGGTGTGGAGGCCAGTGTCCTGGCACTCATGTGTGCTTGAGGCTTGGTATTATTGCAGGTGTGGAGGTCAGTCATGAAAGGAAGTAAGAAATGTTTGAATTCTCAGAAGTCATTAAAGCCAAGTATGTGTAATATAGATACGTAAATGAGTCAAGAGACGCCAGAAAAAAATTGTTCAGTGTTAGAGCTGTCTCAATACGTGGAATAGATTAGACTTAATAGTCGTTGAAGCTAATTGGGTTCAAATTTTTGAATGTAAACATAATAAAACCGTGAGAAATGAGTCTCAATTAATAAAATATCGTTTGGAAGGCGAGGCTAGGAGCTTAACTCGACCCTACAAGCATATCTAGGTGAGTAAGTACATCTAGGTGAGTATACACACACACACACACATACACAAATATCTAGGAGTTGAGGGCATGGACGGAAGCTTGAACAATGAGGCCGTGTGTTGTCTGACGACAGAGTTTGTTATAGTTCTGATGCCAGATTTTTGCTGAGTGATGATGGACTTGAGGCAGTTTGCAGTGTTTGAACCCCATGTACAGATACCGTATGTAAGATAGGGATAGATTAGTGCGTAGTATAGTGAGGGGAGAGGAAAGTGGGGAACATAATATCTGATTTTAGAGAGTATATGGACCGTTTTTGAGCCTTTTTTGGCTATGTGTTGTATGTGGGTGCTGAAGTTCAGTCTCTTGTCTATGTATAGGCCAAGGAACTTTCCCTCGTTTTTATTACTAATGTTAACATTGTCTATCTGAAGTTGAATTTGATTTGATGATTACTACGAAATAAAATATAGTAGGTATTTTCTAGGTTTAGTGTGAGTTTGTTGGTTGACATCCATGATTGGACTCTTTTTTTTAATTCATTATTGAAAATATTATTTAGTGTGTGTGGGGGTTGGGGTTAGAATAGATGAAGGTAGTATCGTCAGCAAATAGTATAGGTTTAAGAATGTTGGAAACATTTGGCAAATCATTGATGTATATAAGAAATAGGAGAGGTCCTAAGATGCTGCCATGTGGCACTCCTATTGTTAATGGTTGAGTGGGAAAGGTTATGTTATTGATGGCTACATATTGGTGTCTGTCACTGAAACAGGAACGAATATAGTTACCATAGTGGTGAAGTTTAAATAGAGTTAGTTATGGTTTACAATATCAAAGGCTTTTCTCAGATTAATGAAGAGGCTAATTGGGAACTTATTTTTGTCAAGGGTTGTGTAGATTATATTAAGCAGACTAATAATGTACAAGAATGTAAGAACTTTTGTATACATAAATGAATAAAAAAAATAAATGGCGTTATTGGTACTCTTTTGGGAACGGAAGCCAAACTGGCAGGGAATTAATATGTTGAGTTTTACAAAGTAGGAATAGAGCTGTTTGTAAATTTTGTTTTCAAATATTTTTGAAAGTATATGTAAGATTTGAAAGTATGTGTCGTTTACTGTCAACAAGTGACTGCGCCAACACTTGTGAGGACCAAATTCCAACATCTGGATCGTCATTTTGGACCAAGTCAATAATTCAAGTTCAAATTCAAATGTTTATTCAGGTAAAGTACATACATACATGGTGTGATACAAACATTGATGGATTTATAGATAGAGCTAGTACATACAATGTCTAAAGCCACTATTAAAGCCACGCATGTCAGTGATAAAATGTGAGCCTACAATATACACATAATTTACCAGGTAAATTATGTTTCATGCAGCAAATATTAGTAAGTTATCCAACTATCACGTTTTTTTATGATATACATGCAGTGATAATATTGATACAATCATTAAATTATGGAGTGTTACTCTAAATCAATCATTAAATCATGTAGAGTTACTCTACCACTGTCCTGTGAGGTAGTGGTAGTGACTTCAGTGTCCCCTACAACACGCCGGAGATCAGAGAAAATGGCAGAGGAGCAAAGGAGAGACAACCAACCAGCTGAGGGGAGAGAATTATCAGGGGAAAGCGCCAAGCCATTACGACTATATAGCCCTTGGAATGGGTCAGGATAAGAATTTGGGATGGGACGGGGGAAGGAATGGTGTCCAACCACTTGGACAGTCGGGGATTGAACACCAACCTCCATGAAGCGAGACCATCGCTCTACCGTCCACCCCAAGTGGTTGGAGAAAGCGCCAAGCAATTACGACTATATAGAACTCAGAAGGGATAAGGAAAAGGATTCGGTACGGGACTGGGTGCGATTCCTTAACTGTAGCCTCTGTTTACCTAGCAGTGACTGGGTTCCTGGTTGTTAAACAATTTGGCGGGTCGTATTCCAGGGAAAATTAGGATTAAGGAGCTGCCCGAAGCGCTATGCGTGCTAGTGGCTTTACAAGAATGTAATAACTCTTGTATATATAAATAAATAAAAACATGGATTTTCTTGGAAGTTAAAATCGGACGACATCCGGTCAGATGATAAGAATGGCGACATTTGCTTTAATATTGTGAGAACAAAAGTATTTCCTGCGAAGACCCAGTTCCCGGCCGCCACCGTCACACTGCAGGAAGTGTGAACGTCGTCGTCCCTTCACCCTCTAGTGTGTGGTCTGATCAACTGCAGGAAGCCTTACACACACGCCTCACACGTCACCAACTTACCCCAGCCTAACATAGTAACAACAGATGTATGCATACACCGAGACGTGTGTCCTATTTCTCGGTATATATATACACAGAGTTTATAGTCCGTTAGTCACGGGAGGCATCTCCCGTCACGCAGGGTGCAGTCGCACCTCCACAGATCTCCAGTATCATCTATTGATACTGGTAATGGCTCAAAAGGGCCACCACTTACGGGCTATTCATGCCCGTGCCACCTTTTGGGTGGCTTAATCTTTATCAATCAATCAGTCCGTTAGTGGTCCGTTATGGGCTATTCATGCCCGTGCCACCTCTTGGGTGGCTTAATCTTTATCAATCACTCAGTCAAGTCCTGGACAAGGCTTAGGACTTAAGTGTACTTGCTGGTTGGTCAGTAAGCTATTATTTTGGCCTCAAGAAGTGCACTCTGACTTAGAGTGACTTTCGTCCCCACACAAGGGACAGAAACAGTCAGTACTGGAGCATCGGAGGGCACCATGCCCAAACTTCCAGCACCTATTACAGAGCCGAGGGGAGGGAATGTACTCCTGGACAGAGCACCTGGCACCAGCAAGAATGACAGAGGGCGGAAGGGTCCGACCATCAAAGGTAATTTTCACAACCCGAAGGGGCTGACGGTGACGACCATGAGGGGGACAAGTAAACGTGTCCACCTGGAGGACAGAATGGCCCTGGGCTTCAAGGATATGCTTGACATCTTCGTGGCAGTCCTTTAGATTCCTAACACCGGTCACAACATGGTGCGGGAGGAGAATAGTGCCAACACTGGTGTCTAACCGAGCGTTCTTGGAAACCCGAACAGGGGTCTCGCCAATGCAGGATAAGGCGGCCAAGCGGATAGCTGCACCCTGAAGAGCAGCAGCAACGACACGTGAACCGAGACGGGTGGGGTTGAAACTAACAAGCATCCACGGAATCAACAAGGTGCCTATGGAGGGAAAAATCGTCAGGAGGAGTAGAATCTAAATGATGGAATTCAAAGTATTTAGTCCATGTAGGAGGACCAAACAAGGCGTGGTATTAGTATGGGAAGGGATCGTGAGAGTGCTGCCACGGCGGGGACAGAGTTGAGAACCTCCCAGAGAGAGAGAGAGAGAGAGGGGGGGGTTAAAAGGCGCAGTAGTTACAATGAGAGATGGAGCTGGGCCAGGGGACGAGATGGTCACTGCTGGGGGCTTAGGGAGCCCAACCACAGAGGAGGGAGGGCAGCCGAGGGGAGTAGTCAGGAGGGTCAGAGGAGGAGCTAGGTCCTCCTAGCTCAATGTAGCAGGGGCTACAGAGCCCGGTCTTCCAACACAGTCCGATTCGGGGGCCCGGTTGCCCACCCTATGAGCCCGAGACGTCACAAGAGGAACAGGTGTCATCGGCAATTCAAATTGATCAATGCAAACTCGTATTAACCATCATTTCATACTAGCCAACATCATATACAAGTTGGAGGATATTAATCCAGACCACAATTTTAAAATCAAATCAGATCAAACCCTTTATTCATAAATAATAACACTTATTGTTGGTTTAGTTTAATTACATGAGTGTCTCAATGACAGCATAGCACATAGATGTACATTTTATCCAAATTAGAAACTTTATTTGTAGTAACTGATAAAAATCATTACAGATACTGACTGGACTAAACAGATGTACAGCAATCTAAATCAAACTGAAATTTTTTGGCAGAGTGACATTTACCTTTACTCTTTTAAAGGTGATATACAATGGAAAATAAAGCATGCTTTATGATTATGGTGGTAAGAGAATATTGGCACTGTATATATATCACAAAACTTAGGTAAATCAGTAAACAATTAGAAGTAGAACTACTGCCAACAAGGGACAACTGCTTCAGCCTCAAGCCACAATACTAGCTGACCTAAGAGCCGAAGCTCGATCCCTGCAAGCACAATTAGGAGAGTACAATGTAGGACAGAAAACAGGTACTGTAATGCTTTTTCACCTGCTGAAGTCATGAATACCAAGACATCCGTTTAAAATTCAGTTGGAAAAAGTCCTCAGGTACAATGGAGGAACCTTTGACAAGCCACCAGCTTCCTGTCACCATCACATGCTATCCAATATTATTTCATATTATCCAATACCATCGAATACTATCCAATACCATCCCATACTATCCAATACCATCGAATACTATCCAATACCATCCCATACTATCCAATACCATCCCATACTATCCAATACCATCCCATACTATCCAATACCATCCCATACTATCCAATACCATTTCATATTATCCAATACCATCCCATACTATCCAATACCATCTCATACTATACATTACTATCCCATACTAACCAACACTGTCATACTATCCCACACTCAATCAGAATCTCAAACTAACAACTCATGCCAGCTCAGATACACTTTTGGTAAACTGTATTCAAGTACAGTATATGTATTGTAAATTGAATGAGTACGTTGTTGTGGTGTCAGTTCACTGCCATGACAAGATTTTACATCTCTGTATCTTTGATGCTTTAACTACAGAACTTTTGACATTTTGCATAACTTCTAAATTTAGCCTCAAATTACAAATGTAACGTGCAAGTTAGAGCAAAACTTGTAATTTAACCGAGGAGTAAGTAATCATCAAAAGAAGGCAATACAAGATATGGAAACACACACAGATAGAACACAAGTCATGTTCAGTAGTTTTCCAGTAGACAAGAGTCAACATGCAACTACTTTAACATGATATTGAGAGTACCTATCCTATTTACACATGTTCCTTTAATAAAACATGTTTATTACCATCATAAAATGGCTTATTACAAGTATAGAATATGTTTGCAGAACTAAGACAAGTGATACCACAGTGAATGCTACAGTATTTCATAAAAAAAGTCAATATAAAATACGTTGTTGGTAGCAATAAATTAGTGATTATACATGGTGTTAAAAAAACATAAAAAAACTGCACTCGTCACTTTGCAGAATTATGAGCAAGTAAGGAGTTGACCGAGGTCTGCTATGTGCTGTGACAACTTTCAATGTGGATAGTAGTACAGGTGTAAGAGTTAATTATGTAATAAGTCACTGGTTTGTTATTAATGAAAGTTTATATCATAAATGTTTGATGTCATCCTGTTAATTCGACATACAGTACAGTATATATACAGTATGTTTGAGACCATGAGTGATGTAAATCTAATGAATACAAATGTCACAGGATTATTTTTTGCCCGATTTACCTAGGGGCCACTAACCCTAGTAACCCTAGTGGCCTCGACGAGGACAGGAAGCCGGCAGCTTGTCGAAGGTCCCCCTATTTGCCTTTAAGATCTTTTCCAGATTTATGTATGCAGATAACTTTTCTTTTGGCAAAGAATGAAGGAGGGCTAAGTAAACTAGCTGAAAATTTAGTGAAAAAAGTGAAAATAGAAATAAGCAAAGTAATGGTAGTGGAAAGAAGAAAATTTGGTGTGAAATAACGGCGAATGGTGACATGTTGGATGTCGTCAATAATTTTACATACCTTGGAAGTGTGATTCCTAAAATACATTTGTGGGCAATCAAAACTGAGTGTACAGCCAGTAAGGTAAACAATGTGCAAAGTTGAGGCAATGATGCCCTGGTTAGGAAACACAACATAGGAAAAAATACAGCCAGAGGTCTGCATGAAGTGGTGATAGTGCAGACTTCTATGAATGGCTGCAAGGAAATGTGTGGTATAAATATTACATGCTAGATGTTAGAGCAAATGAAATGGGGAACCCGAGAAGCACCTATGGTGTTCAGTGATTAGAAAAAGGAATTTAAAGATGGAGAGATATATATAGTGTCAAAGTCAACAAACTGGAAGATCAATGAAAGCACACTAAGATTATTTGGGCATGTAATATGAATGGATAATGGTAAAGTGATGAAGTGTGTGTATTCAAATGAATTTGTGGGTAAAAGAGGAAGGTCAGGTTATTGACTTTTGCACTCCACAACTTTCCAGAACATTTTCAGCATTTACTGCATTATCTTGATACTCTTTGATACTATGCATGCTTTTTAGACTGTTCCTTTACATTGCTATAATTACTGATATTTCATGTTCATACTGTAAGTTAATACAATTGTAACTTCTCCACATACACACAACCCCACAAATGACCATTGGGTTACACAGTGTAATAATTTAAGGAAACATCAATATCCTTGGCCTTATAAAACCATATAATAATTTTGTCATCATATAAAAATGTTGCAGGGTTTGAGATATTACATGAATTTGATCTTGAGATTCTTGATCTTGAGAACAGAACTTGTTTCTGTATAAGCCTCCGGGGCTCACCCAAAAACTGGTGTTTCATTACATTTAATGCTGGTTTCCTTGCTATGGGCCCAGTGTTCAACGTCAACCAAACATCTTGGCTAAGGTTTCAAAGTTTCAAGTCAATACAATGAGGCACTGACAAGTTACTGAAAGCTGATGGCAGAAATAAAAAATAGAATACAATCACAAAGGGGGTACTCTTCTAAACCAGAACTTACATGTAATGTTGACTTTTGTCCCACAAATGTTTCAGGTGATGGACTATGGACAAGAAATATACTGTGCATTAAAAAGCAGAATAATTTTAGTAACAGTTTAATAAGCCATCTTGAAATATGGATATACAGTACTGTAATGCACTGCTAGTGAATACTAATTATTTATTACATTATTTTTTGTAGAGATTTTAGAATAAAGGTAAAGTTGAAATTTGGCAATCATTGCAGTATGATTATTAGAGCAAGCTACACATTTTACCAAACTCTGTACTATTTCAGCACAAAGTACTATCTCTGGTACATACATGTACTGTAAAGGGTATCGGTAGTACAGTCAGATTCGTTCTCAACTCAGAATCGAGAATTCCGGGTTCAAACCCCGGACAGGACAGAAATGGTTGTGCATGTTTCCTATCACCTATATGCCCCATTTACCTACCAGTAAATAGGTACCCAGGAGTTAGTCAGCTCGTTGTGGGGCTGCATCCCAGGGAGGATCAGTAACTCGACCCGGGGGGGGGGGGGGAAAGGACCTAAATATAAGCCTAACATATACCCGTACTGTACGTATAAACTGGCTGCCTGTCCTGCCATAATGCATTATTATTATTATTATTATTATTATTATTTCATTTGAATATATTTGAATTACTTTCCAATACTGTATTATTAAATCGCATATTTAGTAAAAAAAAAATCTTATGAAAACTTCTATTAATAAAAAATGCAGAGTGCTACAAATTACATAATCTACACATTAAACCCAAGATTCAATACCTATACTGTACATAGATTATAAATGCTTATTAGATTTCTTGACCTTATAAAAAATTAAAAAGAAATTTCCTTGTTCAGACACGTATATACACAGCTCTGGCTCCACAGATATTTTAAGACGTTACCAGACCTCTGAACTAGTGCAGGCCAACCAGAGACCAGGATCACACTTTTGTCTGCTCATTCAAATTCAAATGTTTATTCAGGTAAAGCACATACATACAAGGTGTGATACAAACATTAATGAGGCAAGGAGATCCTCAGAATCACAGATCGGTCTTAACTCACATAAATAACAATTTGTTTATTTTCATGTAAAATATATTAAAACCAAAAAGGAGAGAAACCTTATATGTTAAAGTAAAAAGAATATTCAAATTATCTTTTACTGTGAATTTCTTTATTCTAGCCCAGGTAATTGTTAATGTCACCTTATGATGTGAGTCAACGAGCTGAAATATGTCCGACATCAAATTATTTTGTCCCCACCTATGACTGCTGGAAGATAGCAACATCAGTTGCTATCTTCAAGTTGCTAACAAGAAAAGTCTCTTGAAAGTTTAATTGCATGAGAATTAACAAAACATTGACAAAAAATCTATAATAGAATAAAAATGCAGAAAGGAATGCATTCGAGGAGAATGACCTGCTAATTAGTCATTATGATCATCATCATTATTACAAACAGTTCCCACCTGTCATGGGGTGGGAAGACATCTTTCAATAACAGCAAAGTTAATTCTTCCCACAGGATAGCTTCTAAGGATAACTCCAGACCAACTTCCACAGTACAGCAGCCAAGGATAACCCAGACCAGCTTCCCACAGTACAGCAACAAGGATAACACAGACCAACTTCCACAGTACAGCAGCCAAGGATAATCCAGATCAGCTTCCCACAGTACAGCAGCCAAGGATAACTCCAGACCAACTTCCCACAGTACAGCAGCCAAGGATAACCAAGACCAACTTCCACAGTACAGCAGCCAAGGATAACCCAGACCAACTTCCACAGTACAGCAGCCAAGGATAACCCAGACCAACTTCCACAGTACAGCAGCCAAGGATAACCAAGACCAACTTCCACAGTACAGCAGCCAAGGATAACCAAGACCAACTTCCACAGTACAGCAGCCAAGGATAACCAAGACCAACTTCCACAGTACAGCAGCCAAGGATAACCAAGACCAACTTTCACAGTACAGCAGCCAAGGATAACCAAGACCAACTTCCACAGTACAGCAGCCAAGGATAACTCCAGACCAACTTCCCACAGTACAGCAGCCAAGGATAACTCCAGACCAACTTCCCACAGTACAGCAGCCAAGGATAACTCCAGACCAGCTTCCCACAGTACAGCAGCCAAGGATAACTCCAGACCAACCTCCCACAGTACAGCAGCCAAGGATAACCCAGACCAACTTCCACAGTACAGCAGCCAAGGATAACCCAGACCAACTTCCCATAGTATAGCAGCCAAGGATAACCCAGACCAACTTCCACAGTACAGCAGCCAAGGATAACTCCAGACCAACTTCCCATAGTATAGCAGCCAAGGATAACCCAGATTAACTTCCCATAGTATAGCAGCCAAGGATAACCCAGACCAACTTCCACAGTACAGCAGCCAAGGATAACCCAGACCAACTTCCCATAGTATAGCAGCCAAGGATAACCCAGATTAACTTCAATAATACTGGAAGAATAATTTATCTGATGAAGAGTAATGTGTGCCAAATATAAACACCCATGTCCAGACTTTTCACCTAAATGAAATTAAAGGTGTGTGCTAAATCTTAACTCATTAAATGATTTCAAGGTATGTCCATACATATTTAAGCATATACTCATAGCTTATACATTTTTAGACTAAAATTTCAGTTTTCATATTTAAATATAGTACAAATATCATTTCCATTTTTAGATGCCAAATATATTATGATAAATTACATTAAAACAAATCAAAGACTGTATATACTAATATTCTATTGCTCTTTACTCATAAAAATAAGTTCATCTATTTCTACCGCATCAATTACACATTATATTTGTTTTAACAATGACCAACATGTGACAGGTAAGAGTACGACCAAGGCAGCTAAACAGCGGAGAAGAAGTGTGTAGGTGGGTTCACACGTGGCAATGATCATCACACTCTTAACACTGTGCCACAACTTATTAATATATATAACTTTTTAATATATTTTGTATCATTATCTCCTCTGATTAATGTTTTAATAATGATTATGTATTAAACCTTACAAGCTACAGAAAATGCATTGCTGATCACATTTTAAATGCAAATATGCACTATTTTGCAGTGTATCATTGAAAGTTGTAATTAAGACAGACAAGGTGTGCAAATTTTCCAAAATATCTAAATTTAAAATGCAATGACCAGATGAAACAAATAATAAATAATTATGCAAAAACTTATAACATCCTTAACATTTCAGTCCATCCTCCTAAAATGATACTGTAGTACAGTACTTAAAGCAACTATTTGATCCAACATATCAATACAGTATGTAGTGCTGGACCCCAAAAGTTCAGGTTCTACATTACTGAATTACCCCAAACGGCAGTCTATTAATGTAACTGAAGAACCTAACCTAACCTGTCGAGCAATCCTTTTCCTAGTAACTCATATACTGCATGTGCAATATTAAGCCTTGTTGTTCTCGGCTTCTTTTCTTGTACTCTCTAAAACTAATAGTACAAAATATAAGTTTATTTGAGTAACAGTACATCTTGGTATGTTCCACCATGGAGTTGCTATAAGAATTACATTTTAATTCATTTTAGGAGGATATCATTTATAATTTATATATTCATTTTAGGAGGATTTATCACTTAGGAGGATAGATTGTAAAATTGATATACACAAATACAGTACTGAATAGAAAAATCCAATGCAGGTCAACAGAACAGTTACTTGAAACCCTTATATAAATGGAACACTCCTTCAACACCCTTATTAATTCTTTTCCCCTAAACAAATATTAGAAATAAGACAAGGTCTTAAATCCAGTACACTGATTGTACATCGTGACATACTCAAATGGCAAACAAATCTTGTAAAATGATTTAAAAATAATTGAAACCTGAAAAAATTGGATTAATGCAATACGTGGACGTCTAAGCATTTAAAATATAGGTGTACATTAAGAACTGTTTAGACAGGCCAGGAGAATAAGCAATAGTCCTAAGAGACTTTTTAACTTTACATAATGAATTTTATTGGCAACTAACATTTTATGAACATAAATAGCATTAAGATCAAAAAATTACAAATATAGGGTTTCCCTTGCAATAGATTTTGATGCATGAAATACTTTTTCTAAATACTTTGTCTAATTTTGTTATTCTCAGTTTGGTTCCAAGTGTTATTCTTACTTGCACATTTTACCTCAAGCATAAAGCACATGACTGCTGTCTTAGTCCACTAGTAACATGACATGTTGCACTACACTAGGGAATCAGCACACGTGTCTAACAATGTGGCATTACACAAGTCTCAAATATACTGTATTTAGGTTTCAATAAATACTTGTACGTTAAACTATGTGTGGGTGTATAAGAAGAAATGCATGCACGTGTATACTTGTCAATCTGTGTTGAGATAAACGACTGTACTTGCCAATCTGTGTGTATGTACCAAACTATAGCATCGAGTTTAAATACCTTTAATTATATCCATACCTATAGTGACTCTAGTTTCTAATCCAAAGAGAACCTACAATTATATGGTCATGACTATCGTTTTCCTGTCATATCTATTGTAGTACAGTAATGTCATTTTATTTGACCTATCTAGTATGACAGTCTTTTTATTATCATAATAATGAAGATGAAGGAAAGACCCAATATGTTTGTAATTGTATCAAAAACTTTTGGATGCAACCCAAAATTTCTTGTATGCATTTCTTTTTTAATTTATATTTACAAGAGTTCCTACATTCTTGTAAAGCTACTAGCACGCATAGTGTTTTGTGCAGATCCTTAATCCTAATTTTCCCTGGAATATGACCCGCAAAATCGTTTAACATCCAGGTACCCATTCACTGCTGGGTGAACAGAGGCTACAGTTAATGATTGACACCCAGTCAATACTCCCCGGCTGAGATATGAACCCAGGACAAAGCGCTCGCGAAGTGCCAGGTGAGTGCTTTACTATTGCGCCATGGGGACATTTACAAAAAGTGTTTACAGCACCTTGAGAAAAGTGCTGTAACCAATGTTCTGAAGAAGATTCTATCAGGTTGTGTTTATATATCTGCCAGAGTGCCTCGTGTGGCATCCATCATTAGACATTATGCTCCCCAATGCATCTTGGGACTCTTTGGCATCTTGGGACTCGCCAAGGGATGCCAAAGCTTCAGATGAAAGCTCGTGTCCTCATTTCTGGTAACTGTGGGCAGGTCTTTGCAGAAACATTAACCCCACTTTGAACACCACAAGGTCTGTACTTATATGAATTAATGAGATTAGTTAATTTACCTTTGTTAACAATAATTTTACGGTTAATCACATCTGCCTTACTAAAAGTTTTATTTCCCTTTACTGTTTTAGTTTTATTTACCAAGATGCCAAAGTGTCCCAAGATGCATTGGGGAGCATAATGATGTCTAATGATGCATGCTACACGAGGCACTCTGCCAGACATATAAACACATCCTCTTACTCTTCTTCAGACCATTGGTTACAGCACCTTGAGAAAAGATGTAGATTGAATCCAAAAAATTGGTTTTAATACATTTACACATGTGTTAGAGGTTTTCTTCACCTTCATTCAAGCACTATGGCATTGTAATAAGTTTCTCCACAATAATAATGCCGATAAATATTATACATGCAAGATTTCCACAATCTATTGATAGTTAAAGCTGAAGATCACAGACCACCTCTTCTCCTTTCTTATAAAATTTCTAAATCACAATGTCGAATCTCTGGATGACTTTTCTGTCGAGTAAAAAAAATTACCATATAGTTCTTTGAATTATAAATATTTAATTGTATCATTTCCAATACTAATATAATACAGTACTCCAAATACCTAGTTAAATACAGAGGAACCTTGGGTGACGAGCAGCTCCATCTACGAGCATTTCAGGTAATGAACGAGCCACTCGCAGAAAATTTGTCTCGATTGACGAGCTTCTGCTCGGTTAACAAGAAAACCAGGTGGTTTCCTAGCGTTCCCGCTGACTCTCGCAAATTCTCGGATACCCCGGACGACAGTGTTGTTGTTTTATCGCAGAGGATACGCACCCCTCTGCATTTATTTGTGGGTTTTGTGACTACAATTTGTAACCCACGATGTAGTAACCCCTTTCCTCCACCATAACCCCCTCTCCTCTTCCCCACCTCCCCATTGTCTCCCTCAAGGCAGTAACGACTCTTCATAAGGTAAAAGTATAATTGAAAACAGCAAAAATAAAACATTTATAATAATTATATGTATTATAATTACATTATAAAATTTCATATTGATGTTTTTCAGGATGGAACGGATTAATTGTTCAGTGGAACCTCGAATGATTAGCGGCTCCAGTTACGAGCATTTCGAGTAACGAGCAAGCCACTCACAAAAAATGTCTCGACTGACAAGCTTTCCCTCGATTAACGAGTGTTCCCGCTGGTTCTCAGACACCTCCGATGACAGTTATGTTGTTATTGTTTCACAAGATGAGTTTTCCACATGATGAGCTCAGTACTGGAACGAATTAAACTCGTTAATCGAGGTGCCACTGTATTTCCATTATCTTAAATGGGGAAATTCGTTTCCAAAGACGAGCGCTTCGCATGACGAGCTCATTGCCGGAACGGATTAAATTCGTTAACCGAGGTTCCTTTGTACCCAGATACCCATCTAAATAACATATTAAACACCAAGATTTTTTTTTAGAATATGCCACACACACACACACACACACACATATTATATAATTACTGTACTAGAAGTGAATTTTACTTATGCAAAAAACAGTAATTGGCTGTCAATCTCTAATTGAGTGATGTGGTTAATGGTGATGAAACTGGTTTTTGAACCCCAAACAATTTTATAATTATACACTTATTGTAACTAACTTTAGACTTGATGTATATCATTCATTATTGCATTAATGTAGCCATATTTCAACCAATATATGGGGTTCCACTTTTGTGCATATTTACTATTGCAAGCACAGCCACCCACAATAAGGTGGAATAAGGGTGCAGTACTTGCTTACCCACTATAAAGCATTTTGTAAAGTAATGGCGAGCACAGTTGGCTCAACAGAATGGTCTCTGATTCAATTTGCAGGCAGGACATATTTGGCCACATTTCCTTACAAATCTTACAATCTTACAAATCTAAAATCTTACACTTTTTCTATAATTTTTTTTAAAAGCATTTGCATGTAAGGATAAAATCTGTGAAGATTCATTCTCTGTGAAACCTCACAGAGAATGAAAAGGTAATGTGTGAAACACTAAATGGACAGTTCCAAAGTGTGTTCATACAAAATTATATTTTTAGACAACCAGACACAATGCTAATTTCAGAACACCATTGGGTACATTTCGGTGTCTCGAGGCAAAGTAGTGAATTAATCAAGGAGCTAGGAAGAAACAAAGCAGATGGCACAGATAAAGTTTCATTTTGGGTTCTGAGAAAATGAATACTTAAGCTGAACATTCCACTTCAAATTATATTTCAGGCATCTTTGTGTACAGGAAACAAGTACAGGTATTTAGTAAAATACTAAAGATATTGTTCACAATCCTTGCGAGACTAAAACTATGTTGAATGGTACCCATATCTCAAAAAACACATCAACAAACTAGAAAAGGTGCAGAAATGTGCTACTAAATGACTTCCAGAACTGAAAAACAACAGGTACAAGAAAAGGCTAGAGGTGCTCAATTTGCCAAAGCTGGAAGATAGACAAAACAAAAAAGAAGATATGATCACTACATACAAAATAGTAATAGGAATAAAAAATATCGACAGAGGAATTCTTGAAAACTGCAACCTCAGTACCAAGAGGTCACAGACTCAAGCTAAGGAAGCAAAGATACCATCAAATATTAGCAAGTTGTCTTTTGCAAACAGAGTGGTAGATGGTTGGAACAAATTAAGCGAGACGGTGGTGCAAGCAAAAACAATCTGTAGTTTCAAAGTATCATATGACAAAGAGCATAGCTCATCCTGTAACTAGGCTTAGGTAATTACTTACGTGATTAATAATCCCAGATCTAGAAAATCTGGGACCCTAAGAGCTATCAGATAAGTTTGACTTCAGGCAAAGGATTAACAGTTGTTGACATGGGAAGCTGGCAGCTTGTTATGGTGCCACCTGGTGGGGGCCAGCTGTAACTAGGAGGGGGAGGGGGAGGGGGGTTGCTGTATTGTTTTATTTCCTTTTATTTGTACACAGGTGTGTACAGGAGTAAACAACTTCTGACTCCTGATAGCATGCCAAGAGCTTCCCCCTTCCCATAGCTTGTGGTAACTCTTACCCATATTAGTTCCCCTGGAACACAACCCATCAATCAGTTTACAGCCAGATTCCCAATCACTGCTGGGTGAACAGAGGCAAACAGTTAAGAATTAGCACCTGGTCAATCCTCCTTGGTAAGGACTCGAACCTGGATCAAATCATTCACGAGGTGCAGGGCAAGTTTGTTACCACTGCACCATCAAGGACTTTCTGTGATCCTTGCAGTTGTCTGTTTTGCTTCACTTTTCCATTGATGTGACGACTTATACTGAATTTTGTAACTAGCTTATCAAGACTAACTTGCTTAGCTAAATTAATTGTGGGGTTCAGTCCCTGAGCCCATTATGTGCCTCTGTAACCCCTTCCACTACCGCCCACAAGATGGGTATGGGGTGCATAATAAATGAACTAAGCTAACTATACTTTTTTTCTGTGTATTTGTTTCTTCAGTGAGGTTGATCATGAATCCCCTGCATCTCATTGAGAGGGCCCAGATTTTGGCCTCTCGTTTCTGGTAGGCTATTAAGGACTCTTAAAGGTTGGTGTGACTTATAGGTGTGGAGCTATTTAAATGCAGCTAGTTATGGGAAGATATCCATAAGTTATGCAGACTGTCCAGAGAATCAGATTAAATTGTTTACAGTGAAAAGTGGTCTTAAAAAATCATAGGACATGAATCAAAACATTATAAATTGAGGGATGCCTATATTTCACACAACATTATCAAGCTAGACCCCCAAAATGAACAGCACACTAGCATACCTTATTGTCTGTGACCAAATGTCTGTGAAAAAACCCAGCACAGAATGTAATGGTACACCTCTTTCTGGACAAGCCCTAGTGAATCTCTGAAGCTACGTTGCTGAGATTGCTTCCAACATCTAGGTCACATCAATCGCAGAGTTCTGTTTGGCCTACCAAGAATTGGAGCCAGAACTTAGTTCCCTTACAGAGGTCCAGAGAGCAAGTGGCACTCCACCACCCCACTGGAAAACCATCAGAAAGCCAAGGCACTAATACAAACCACTGTTGGGTTCAAAAGAACCAAAGCCTCAAACTTTTTTAAACTATACAAACAATACACACAGTATTACTATGTGTATTGTTTACAAACAGTATTATGTAAACAAATGATTGATACTCCTAAAACTAGCTGAAGCACATTAGCGCCAAACTACCACCCGACTAAGGGCTTGGAGCCCCAGAGCTCCTGTAACAGCAGCCAAGCTAGTTCTGGAGCAGATGTAAAAAGCATAACTATCAACCAACATCCTGGTAAGAAAGGAGGGTGTCGGGGGAAGCACAGGAACTCATCCAGAAAGAGGCGTTTCATTACATTCAATGCTAGTTTTCTGGAGGAGTTTCTTGTGGCACCCTGAAGCTACTTAACCACAGAAGGAGAACAAGGAACTTGCCTAAGAGTAGGAGAGACAGTAGGCACCATGGCAAAGAAGAAGCAACAGGCTGAAAGACATAACCCAAGGCAACACAGGCATAATGAGGCCTGAATACCAGGGTGCCAAAACATGTTTAGACCTCCAAGACTCCCATGTCTGAATATCAACCCAGGACATATTAGCAAAGACAGGACAAGTGCAGCATTTTTCTGAACATTATGAGCATGAGAGTATACCACAGGCTGGGTAGACTTAACAGTACTGAGGACAACCCGAGATATTCAACCATTGGAACAGGGAACCAAGGAGACAGGATCAACCCATAGAGCAACCACCGAGGCAGAACGTGTGACACTAAGGAAACAGTACAGCTGCTACTGGACACAACAATTGATGCACTCCCAGTTGAACCAAACATCATGAACCAAAGGATCCTCCCTGCCACAAGCGCACTGACTCGCTCTTAATTAGAAAGGGAGGAGAAAGCAGCAAATAAACAAAATGCTGATCAGGGCCACAGTAATAAATATTTTAAGTAAATATTGGTCTGGAAATAGGGTTGCACATTTGCATACAATATATTATTTCTAACACGAATTTTGCACAGGTAACCTGCATGCGAGCCATCATGTTCTAGATCTATGTGTACCTTTAAGTTCTAGATCTATGTGTACCTTTAAGTTCTAGATCTATGTGTACCTTTAAGTTCTAGATCTATGTGTACCTTTAAGTTCTAGATCTATGTGTACTTGTCTGAAAAGATCTTTTTGTGAACCCAGCTAACTCCAGGATTTGGATAATAGGTGTTTTGGTACTACATTGTTTATGTTATAGAAGTTTTTGAAAATCCTATTTACAACAGAAAACTGGACTGTACCTTAAGTATTGTTTCTATTCTGTCCACTTCAGCTCCAAGACTGTCAACAATGTTCTCTCCATGTTTCAACATGAATGCTTCTACTTCATCAATTGTTTTGAGTGACTGCATTTCCTATAACAAAAAATAAATGTTTAGTATTCAAACATTATAACCTATGAATAGTCCTAATAATATAGTATAGCATTAAGGTTGGAATAAGCCTATGAAACATGGCGTGAAAAAAATATTGCAGTGGTCCATGCCAAGCTTGCGCTTCACTGATTCTTGTTGGGGTTACTTGCTGCTGCTCCCATTTTCCTATTGGTAAGCCTCCCCCCCAACCCCTTTTTTTTTGTGTTCTTTATGGCAAGTTAACTCGTGAAGCAACAGAAGGGAGTCCTTCCAGAAATCCATCATTAAATGTAATGAAATGCCTCTTTGGTGGGTCCCTTCAGTAGGTCTCCATTCCTCTCGTTCTTCCCTCCTGGGGATTCCATGGCTGTTTTTGGGCAGCAAATTCCCGATGTGAGAAGCCAGCTGGAGCCCCGAGTTACCAGGGCCCCGCATATGGTGGTGGACAAGTGTAATTACTAGCTGTTGGGGGTGGACAAATGTACAATGAGTGTGTACATAATTTTATCAGAATTACTCATGTTTTCTATGGAGATATTCATTTTAAGATTATCTTGAGGTTATCTTGAGATGATTTCGGGGCTTTATTTTCCCCGTGGCCCGGTCCTCGACCAGCCCTCCACCCCCAGGAAGCAATCCGTGACAGCTGACTAACACCCAGGTACCTATTTTACTGCTAGGTAACAGGGGCATAGGGTGAAAGAAACTCTGCCCATTATTTCTCCCCGGCGCCCGGGATCGAACCCGGGACAACAGGATCACAAGTCCAGTGTGCTGTCCGCTCGGCCGACCAACTCCCGAGATGCTCTAATATCCTGGCCTAGATTAATGCCATATCCCCAGACAACCTTGCTTCTTGAGGGGGTCAGATATTGGTCCTGGTCCCTGGAAGGCACTTGTGACTCAAAAGGGCTGAGTGGGGTGTTTACATGCACATCTTTCCCTTTCTAAATCCAAGCTGCTCTTTTGTTGTAATGTTTATCCTCTCCAAATGCTTTAGGCTTGGAGCTCACCAAGTGGGTAGCTTGGGAAGACCCTGAAGAAAGCCCCTCCCAGAAATGTGTTGAAAATTTGAATATTAACAATTCAATCGCAGATATTATGCAAAATTAGATGGTTTAGCATTAACAGAATTAATTGAACAAATTGATGAATTAATAACATTAAATAAAAGTTGATAACATATAGGAAAGATTAAATATCTCTATTATTTCACTTATCATTTATGCTTGAAAATTATATTACTGGACGTTCTCATCTGCCTTACATTTAGCAGAACTTCTAAATCTTGTGTGTCCAGATATCCTCGTGTCAGTTCTCGACCATCAAAATCCACTTCTGCCTTATATCGCACAAGTCCGCTCCCCATGTCAATACCTTTTACGTCATATATGGCACGAATTAGAACGTCACGCTCAAGTTCAGCATTTATTTTTTCTATACGATGTTGTGGGATAGATCTGTAAATTACATGCATAAAATAATATAAATTAAAATTTTACAAGGGAGACTTGAACAACATATATAAAATAATTGACTTTTCCACATAAAAATCCCTTTAGACTTTTTTTTAAAAGTCTCATCGCTTAAAATTAAAACAAATAAATTAATCAACATCCCCCAAATCATACCAAACAAGCAAACAATCAGGACAAGCAAAAATGAACACAATAGGATGAGATCATTTTTGTCTCCAGTTACATCAAAGCAACTTTTTTTTACCTTTATTAGATATTTTATTTCATATATTCTAATGAGTCTGATACTACATTTTCAATGTACCTGTCTAAGGTCTACCAAAGATTATGGAGGTCGACCAAGTTTTCGTTGTACCGAGCAAAGTATCCCTTTCTCTACCAACACCACCTCTAGTAATGTATGCTATCAGTCAAATAATTCATTCATACAGTACCATGAATACATCCTCTGAAAATGACTCCCATAATGTTATGATTCAGCACCTAAAGCCACTAAACTCCTTTCTGGCAACCCCTTTCTCACATCAATGAGTTCTTGATATTGGTACTGACCGTTGACCAGACCACACACTAGAAGTTGAAGGGACAACGACGTTTCGGTCCGTCCTGGACCATTCTCAAACGACTTGAGAATGGTCCAGGACGGACCGAAACGTCGTTGTCCCTTCAACTTCTAGTGTGTGGTCTGGTCAACATACTTCAGCCACGTTATTGTGACTCATCGCCTGCATATGGTACTGACCATTTGATGCTCCTGAGCACACTTTAGTAAGCTACTTTGTTTATAAGTCACGACTCAGGAAATTAACAAGTAAAACTGAATTATAACTTGGCTTACTTTCCCACTAGTGCTGCAGAATTTGTATAAACAATAAATCCTGACACTGCAGCCAGGATCCCACCAATCAGACAAGACCCAAGGGCATCAGGAATGTGGGAACCAGTAACAGAGGTGAGGCCCATGCATCCCATGGCCACTGCAACACCCATCACAGCTGCCATATCCTCCAGCAGCACCACATTGACACTTGGATCTTGACCTCTGAAAACTGTCAAATACCTCCTACAGTACAGTAATAACAAACTGCATCAATTTCCTTATATTAAATATTTACCCATTACCCTATTGTTCCCTATTTCTTGTAGTCTAATTCAGTCAGTAGAGAGTAGTCTACTCTCAACATTCTTTTATTACCACAAAGTGTACTGTAATATACACCCCTTACCATAAACCCGAGCTTATAAGTCCATGACTGGAGCTTAATTTGTAGTTCTCAAAGCAAGGAGTCATGACATGATGGGAATAAAATGGCAAGCACTAAGCAAGGCTTTTCTACTATTATCAGCCTTTAGCCTTAAGCTTTAATCACTACAAAGTTGACTACAACACTGATATCCAACACTCAAAATGTTACTATTGTCCTATTCGTATCATATATATGTTTGCATTAAAAATGTTAGCCGAAATACTTGGCAAGCAATGCCTCGTCCACAGCAAATGTCTACAATTGGATGCCACTGTACTAAACATAGTTTGCTATTCTGTATTATGAAAAGTATTTTTTGGCTTGACAAATACACTGTTGATGAAACAGGTGTTGATGATCAACATGGTAAGCCTCTCAGCCTAACCCATGGCTAACCTAACTCAGCCCATTGTTAGCCTAAATAAAATGTTAAAACAATACACTAAAAAGAAAGCAGTGAATGTAATGGAACACTTTTGTCTGGTGGCCCCTCCATAGTTTCCTAAGCTAGGCGCTGGCACTGCCAAGCCTTAAGAAGTAGCACCAAACCTCAGAGACCCACCCTTGTCTATTGGGAACAAATAGATGAAATGGTTCTCTTTATGAAGTGAGAAGTCACAGATCAACCACCATCCCCCCAACCCACAAAATAAAGAGAAAATCTGCACAACAAGAAGCAACTGCTTGAAGAAAATTAGGTACCAAGAGAAAAATGACTATTGCTGTAAGGGAAATACCCTAACCCATGATATAGGCCAGCATTTTTGCAAAAGAAAATATTGGAAACAGAATATCACTTGAGAAGATGGCTAAAGATGAGGGCCCAGGTCAGAAGGGCACCTAGTGGGCCAGCCAGAGGCTTATGGCCTGCACAGGAATATCCATGGAGAGAAAAAAAAAAAAAAAAAAAAAAAAAAAAAAAGGCACCTGCCAAGGGCCAAACACCAAAGCACAACATGAGTGTGGCGAGGTCATAGAACACCAAGCAAAGTTAAACATCAAACAGGAGCCATTAACCAAGTACAGCAGCTAAAGTTGCATTAGGCTGCAAAAGATGGAAGCATGAACTAACCTCCAGCAGGACCAAAGCCAAAATCCAATAATTCATCAAGAAACCAACAAGCAAACAAATCAGGCAGGGGACTAGGAACCTATGACCCAGAGCCTAAGGAACAGGCTACCAGACCTGAGGGCCAAAACTAACAACCTGGGGCTATGCCCAAGAGCAGAAACCCAAAGACACCAGTTGAAAAAAAAAAAATAGGACATGGCCCCTGATGACCAAACCTTCCCTAAAATACGATACACCCAAAACACACCACGGGAAAAGCTGATTATCCGGTCAAATGCACTAAAACATGTGGCCCAGAAGCATTTTGGAAACATGAACTGGGAACAACCGAGCACACAATTAAGGAATAACCCAAGGTATGGCCAAGGAACACCCAGGTTAGGTATCCAGTCTAAGAAGAGCTGGGCCCAGAACCCAGGAATAGCCAGGCCTAAAGCCCGAGAAGATCCAGGCCCAGAGCCTGAACAGAGCCACACCAGCATTCCAGAAAGAGAACAGGCATACACAGAAACCTCCTAGCAAACACTATACACAGGAAGTTCACAGCAACTAAGCTAGCAACCACCTGGCACACAGCTTAGATATAGCTGACCACCTAGGCCAGAAGTGCTGTAGCGAGAGATGCTTGTGGGTACCTAATTTTTCTTCAAACAGTTGCTAGTTTTGTGCTAATGCCTTTTGGAGGGCCTTTCTTTGGTTTTGGATTGATCTAATGTTTAAAGCTCCCCCTCGCCTCATAAAGAACCAGATTTTGGTTCTGATTCCCTGTTGTCAAAGATGGGTCTTGGAAACCTGGTGCATCTTAAGGCTAGGCTGAACCAGCTCTTAGCTTGGGAAGCTACCAAGGTAGGCCCTCCCAGAAAATACCCAGTGTTGATTGTAATGAAATGGCTCTTTCTGGAAGAGCCCCAGTGGCTCCGTGAAGCCACATGCATTCTCAGATTGCTCTCAATTACTAGGCCACATCAGCTAGAGTTGTTTAACCTACTGGAGACCAGAGCCAGAACCTGGCCACCTCACAGAGATGCTGAGATTGGGCGACACTCTGCCACCTCACTGGGAAAGCATCCAGAAAGTCAGCGACCCAATACCACTACTGAGTTCAAAGAGACCAAAGTCTTGAAAATGCCAAACAATGAAACAAACAAGTGAATCTCTCAAAACTAGTGCAAGTTCATTAACACTAATCCCCGGGGTAAAAAGCACCAAGCTACTTCATTCTGCTGCCAGGAAGACAATTGGAGGTGGAATGCCATCTCTATGCCAAGCAGGTGGATGATTTAATACCGTTGGCTCTTTGTGTCAGAAAAAACAGAAGTGAAGAGTGGAGGAAAAGTTTAAACAAGCAAGGTATGTTATCTAACAAATCAAACCAATTTTTCTCACTTAATCAGCATCAAGAGCAAAGATAAATTTATTTATTTCAGTTGTGAATGAAACCTGTGCCTGTTATCTAATATACGATCCAGGATTATTTCAAGGTTACATACACCCAAGGGAAGATATTGTCCTCGCTGAGAATGACTGGTCTAGACAGAAGGGCCAAAGACCCCTGACACACCCAAGGTAAGGCCCCCAACCCAGTGATATAGCCTCTAAAGAATGAACTCCTGAACACACCAAATAAGAGTTAGTACATGGGCAGCACTAAAGAGCACACATGGAAGGTAGTCCTGAGCACATGCAGCTCTAAGAACTCTACAAGTCATGTCCACACAAGATAAACTGGACAGAAAACACAGTCGTGATGCTAACTAAAATGCTGAACAATACGAAGGAAATGGCCCCCACAGGACAGTCTAAGGATGGCTGGCACTTAGATGAGAAGCAGTGGGACCATTGCAGCTGGTTGATGATCTAGGAACCCTACAGTGGACATTTGATGGAGTTCACATCAGTGAGAGAAGGGGTGTGGAAGACTGGAGGAGACCTGGAGCTCTGGGTCTCCTTGTACTGGTGGGAGGGAGGGAGTTCTAACAAATTCCTACTAGTTTCAAGAGATTCAATTGTTTATTTACATTGTTTGGGAGTTAGTTTGGCAGTTTCGAGGCTTTGGTCGCTCTGAACTCTGGAGTAGTTTGTATTGGTTTGCCGACTTTCTGGATGCTTTCCTAGTGGAGTGTCACCCACTCTCTATGCCTCTGAGGGGAGGCCAGGTTCTGGCTCTGATCCCTGGTAGGCCAAACAGAACTTTACTGCTGATGTGACCAAGTAGATGGAAGCCATGTCAGTGAGATAGCTTCAAGGCACCACAAAGGGGCTCCCAAAAAACTTAATATAACAGTATGGTCTCCCTTTTCTAAGGGTTAAATTATGTAATTTTATCACTAAACAGTATTTAAGCATTTAATATACTAGTTACCATATTCTGCAAAAGTCATTTGTTGATCATTTGCTCCTTTCTTAATAGCATGAACTGCCATGAGAAGTGTGCCACCCTCTGTTATTAGAGATCCTCCTAAGATGTAAAAAGCCCAGTAAAGGGGTAGCACCTGCACAAAATTTAAAATGTTAATAAAGGATTCATAAAGTGAATGACTTATGAGAAAAGAGGACAGGGATATGTCCCCCAACAAACTGAAAGAGCCAAGCTAAAATAATCTGCATTAGGAAAATGTAATGCCACAAAGAAAAAGTTTTACTCTAAATTTACAAATCTTTAGTATACAATCTTTATATACAAATCAGCATTCAACTTAGTTTTCCATATTTTCTTGTGTAGTACTAGTACTTCAAAATCTCTATTCCTCTTATCTTGAAAAGAAACTTAAACATTACAAGGAAATTTTCATAGTAGCAAGTCAGTATAACATTCACATTCTCTTTTAGACTTTCCAAAATTTGTCATATATATATACAGTACCTCTGAAGGTCCAAAGAGCCCAGAGATGCCATGTTGAATGGAGAGACCTGCACCCACACAGAATATCATAGCCCCAGAAATTAACGAAGAAACATATCTCATTGTAGTATAGCCATACGGATGAATTAAATCGGCACTCTGAAAGGAAAAAGTTTTTGGCCATGAAAAACAACTTATTAGAATCTCCTAGTTTTGTATACAGTACTGTACTGTATAGTAGAGAAATGCCATGTCTATCCTCTAACACTAGTATATACTGTAGTACTTGAAATATGCAGATTATGTATTACATGTACAGTGGAACCTCCACTTACAATTTTTTTGAGTTATGTACAACCCCAATTTCGTCGGAAAATTCGACTCGACTTACGACCTTTGCCTCGACTTGTGACTTTTGTTGATACTGTACATGTATAGGGTCGACCGAAAACGTGGTGCACTTCAGTTTACCAGTCTCTCTCACATAGTGACGATCGCGCTTGAATTCTTTGTAAAGTACAGTATTTCATTTTTTTCTGATATTTTGGTTTTTGAACATGCAAGTAATTATTATGTATCATGCCATGGGTCCCAGGAAAGTCAGTGGTAAGGTTCAACCTAAGAAAATAGTTGTGAATAGTGGAGGATGTCCCTTCCTCATTAAGAAAATATGTGAAGTATGGGAAGAACTGCAAAGTTTTGTTGAAAAAACTCACCCACATAAAGCTGTAGCAGGCCGTTACATTGACCTTTTGAATGATAATTTGTGATGTCACAACAGATAAGTGTTAAAATGTAGGGAAAAACAAGTGTCTTTAGACAGATTCTTAGACAAGCAAGCAATGAGACACAACTATGTTCTAGTGGTAGGCCTGCAAAACGTAGGAGAGAGAGAGAGAGAGAGTACCCCAGGAAAGTCATCACTGCCTGATATAATGGAAGGGGACTTCCCTTTCAAACAGTAACACCTCTCCTCCTCCCACCCCTTTCCTCAACATTTTCCATATGTCAACAAGAGTCATCAATAAAGGTAAGTTATAACTTGTGCATACTATAGTACACAATGTGTGTGTATTAAGTATGAAATGTATTTTAAAGTTAAGATTTTTGGAAGTGTAGAACGGATTAATTCAATTGACATTATTTCTTATTGGAAAATTTGTTTCGAGTTACGACCCGTCTCCGGGAACAGATTAAATTCGTAAATGGAGGTACCACTGTATACATTACTGTACAGTACTGTATGCAGCATCAATCAAGAAGACAAATTACAACAAGTTAAGCTGAAGATTCTGCTTTAAATTAATTACACTACTGTACTGGAATACTTTTTAATAATAGTGTGTGTGTGTAGCAATTCAAATTAAGTTGGTTGTGGTACAAAAAAACTGAACAGTTCACTTTTGGACTTCCCGGTAAAAATTCTGTTTATCCGCATGTCGGGCCTATCGAGGAGGGGGGGAGGGATCCTTCCCATATATTGTACTGTAATTCGTATAAGTGAGCCCACACTTATACGTATAAGTGAGCTTGTCATATGTATATGACAAGTTATAAAGAATCAAATAATGTTAAATTAAATTTAACATTAAAATATTGAAATACTGTATATAAAACATTGAGGTTATTGATATCCTCAATATTTTTTTTAATTTTTTTATGCTGTAATTTTAAGACATATTTCTAGCTCAAGATACTGAGCATGTTTAGTATACTGTACCTGCATTATCACACACACTGAAATTCCACAACTACTTCCCACTCACCTGTTTTGACTTATGAATACCATAGGCAAGGATGAGCTGATTGGTAACATCAGCAAGAGAATGCAAGGCTTCTGCGAACAGACAGTGAGATCCAGTAAAAGCCCACGCCCCTAATTTCATAACAAAGTTAGCTCCATTACTGAAATAAACAAACAGCTGTTTAAGAGTTAAATAGTTTTAATAATAATTACATTTTAGATACTGAAATTTTAAATATTATAAATAAATAATAAATAAATAAATTTTTATTCAGGTAAGGTACATACATACAAGGAAAGATACAAAGTTGATGGATTTATAGATAGAGCTAGTACATACAATGCCTAAAGCCACTATTATGCAAAGCGTTTCGGGCAGGAAAAACCTTAAAGACTAAAACATAATACTAATTGAGTTTAAAGTATAAAATGTCTTGAGAACAAATAAAAATAAAAATAAGAAAGGGGGGAACATGGCTGAAAAAGCAGCACAGTTAGGTTGACAAACAGCATTGTTTAAAAAAAAAACAGACATGGGTTGACAATAGAGGGGTAAGGTAGGTTACAGGGAATTTATTAGGTAGTGCTTCGTTTTTTCTTATTAGTTCTCTTACTGCTAGTATTAGTATAATGAAGGGGAAAACCAATGTGTGTTGGCTGTTTCAGACAAGACTTATATAAACCAATATGAGAGAGAGATGTTTCACACATGCTAATCCAGCCAAAATTATTCACCATACGGCCAACTGATGGACACAGTGTATGTGCTTTGTGATTGACATCTTAGTGTACAGTTTGTTTGGACAAGGCCTCACAAAAATTTTGTTTGTGTAACTTTTGTTTTTGTGCACCTCCCATCTTCTCTTAGCAATGTCTGTTATAAGTCTTAGTACAATATTACTGTATTAGTATGCTAGAAACATCTCATATAAAAACCAGCGATGAACGTAATGAAACACCAATTTCTGGGTGAATCCTCAGAGGTTCCCTAAAGCTACTATATCTGATAGTGAGCCATACTACTAGGTCCCATCAATCGCAGAGTTTTATAGGCGTGAGCCAGAACCCAGCTGCCTCAAAGAAGTGCAGGGAGAAGTGGCACTTATTCATTAAGTTATTCATTGAGCCACTACCGAAAATGGCACCCAGAAAGTCAGCTAAACAAAACAAAACCACTACTGGTTTGAAACAAGGCAGCCTCAAGAACTCCCCAAACCATGAAAACAAACGATCGAAATCTCATTAAAGTAGCACAAGCTTATTCAACCCCTCATTTGGGGGGAGGGGAGTGGCTGCCTATGGTCAGCTGAATGCTCTACCATCAGCGCTATGATGATGCAAACCACTCCCGATGACTTGGAGGAAGGGAGGGTGTCAGTGCGCCAACGAGGCTCGTCCAGAAATTGACATTTTAACACACGCACAATTAATTACGGTACTAGTTTTCTAGGAGGAGCCCCTTGTGACTCCAACAAGCTAACTACCCACAGAAAGGAAACAATGGGCACATACAAGGGGGAAGGGGAGGGGAGGGAGCACCTTTCGACAACACCCAAGCGTACCCACTCCAAGATAACCTGACAGAGCACAGGAGAAGAAACCAGCCCCGCAGGTACTATGATGAGGAAGAGACTCCTGGACGAGAAACATGACCCAAAGCCACACAAGGGTGCCAGGGCCCGGGCACACTACTAACATACAGTACTGGGCTGCCAGAACCGTGTTTGACCTCTGAAACTCCTGTGCCTGAATATCAGCCTTAGACAGACATATTCGCGAAAACAGCTGACAGAGCAGTAAATATCTGAACATTATGGGCACGAGGGTAGACCACAAGCTAGCTAGACTTAATGACACTGAAGAGAACCCAAGAAATATGGACCTTGGAACAGGAGACATGGTGACAGGATCAACCCACAAGAAATCCATAAAGGCAGAACCCGTGGCATGAAGGTAGCGACAAAGAGCCGCCATAGAACATAACATGATGCACCCCTGGCCGAACCAACCAAGCATCAATAGCCAACGGTTATTATTAGGTAGCCTATCTCAGTGGCTATCACTGAAGCACAGAACTATTAGGAATAATGCGCCCTAAATCATATAAACTATACATCTCACTACTGTGGATATAACATTTCATTCACCTCCAGCACTAGGTGCACCAAACACAATGGGTGTTGGTTGTGTTTGATGGTAGAGGACGGGTATATCCACACATAGATAATTATCTACATTTTCATGCACAATTTTGATCCACTAATCAGTTCTAGTGGGTATAATAATCTTCTAACCAGTTGTAAATGTTCAGCCTAGCTATGCATATTTTTTTTTAAATTGTAATTGAATTGCATGCACTGAATACATTACATTTTCTTTATACTGCATTTCTAATATTTTTCCCATTGTTTTTTTCAAGTGCAATGATGTACTTGGCTGTCAATAATGTTATTTTTATCACAGAACATGTAGAACATAGGTACACACACATCTGTATCACTAATAATCATGCACCATTATATTCTTTAAACAATAAAACACAAGTTTTTGCCATTATCACATTACATACTACATTTTTATGCATCATAGTGAACCATTAAGTAGGTCTGTTGGGTGTGGTAATGAAATCCAAGCACAGCATAGCCCCAAATGCTACCAGAAGATGATACCAGCAGGTGACACCATTTGACACACCAAAATGCCTCCAATATATAATACAGTACAGTACTTTGCATTTCACAAACTAGCCACAATACTACTATCATTGTCAGATTCCTGTCACTAAATTACTAATATGAATAATTTTCCTTAAGTTTATTTTCTAAAGGAAAATGAGATCCTGTTTCATGATGTGTAGATGTATGAAGCCACAGATGTGTGTTGTGAATGTCTGCCTTCTGCTGTGAACAACATAACTAGCATTGCGTTCACTAATTTCTGAACCTTGTACATAGTCCTTATTACAGTCTGGATCTTCTACGACACTTTCATCACAAAATAATCAGTTATTTATTTTGTCAATATCAAGTGATGGTTATCTTGAGATGATTTGATGATTTCGAGGCTTAGTGTCCCCGCGGCCCGGTCCTCGACCAAGCCTCCACTCCCAGGAAGTAGCCCGTAGCAGCTGTCTAACTCCCAGGTACCTATTTACTGCTAGGTAACAGGGGCATTAGGGTGAAAGAAACATTTTGCCCATTTGTCTCCACCTCCACCGGGGATTGAACCCGGAACCTCAGGACTACGAATCAAAGTGCTGTCCACCCAGCTGTCAGGCGCTCATGGTGTAGGCACACTACTTTTTTTTTTTTTTTTTTTTTGTAAACTGTCCACACCACACACACACACACCCCAGGAAGCAGCCCGTGACAGCTGACTAACTCCCAGGTACCTATTTACTGCTAGGTAACAGGGACATTCAGGGTGAAAGAAACTTTGCCCATTTGTTTCTGCCTCGTGCGGGAATCGAACCCGCGCCATAGAATTACGAGTCCTGCGCGCTATCCACCAGGCTACGAGGCCCCTAGAAACTTTCCCCGAGTGAAACATTGTTACAATCAAGCTAAAACAAGGTAGCTGACAGCAATCATCAGAAATAGCTAACCAAACTGCATTTTGATGATACTTGGGTAATAATTATCAATCCCTATTGACAAGATAAACCCTGGAGGTACACAGAAGGGACATTCTGCCATAAGTTACATTTTTTCAGGTGCTTCCTATGCATTTTATTGACCCTTTAGGAATGTCTGTAAAGATTTTCATGACACCAGTGTCAAAATATTGCACTGGTTGAATAGTAATGAATTATGATAGTGAATTCTAATTTTAAGGCGCAAACGAAGGCATCAGATCAGAAATACTTCTCAAATGTGTGTAACTATTACAATCTACAAGCTACCAAGTATAATTTCTTCAAGTAAATATATTTTATTTTGACATAAAGCTTTATTATGGTATTACGCAACTTGAAGGATTTAATTAAATCCCAGTTACGTGTACACTCAAGCAAAGCAACATCATAGAGTAGTTCCTTACATAATTACTGCTGCCCACACCACCCTGCTGGAGGAGTCCATGCCTACAGACTGAACAGGGTTGGATGCCGTCCTCTGGTCACGACGGTACTCCTTAAGTATTTTCTTGATGTTGAAGATATCTGCTGTACAAAAACATGTTAAGGCTCAAAAAGCATATTGAAAAAGAATAAAAGCAAAAAAGATTGACCCATCATTTGTAAACTTCCACATGGAAATAAACTCACTACAATTGTTACACTGGGAAGACGGGACACCACGAGCGTAGCTCTCATCCTGTAACTACACTTAGGTAATTACTGTACCAATTAAGTTATTTATCTTAAGAGAAGAATGCTTTATGATCAATGATAAAAATTTTGTTAACATATAAACATAGTAGTACAAGTGCATTAAGCCTCAAAGTGTGGTAATCATTATATGTTGGTTCCTGAGGTAATATGGTTAGCATTGTATGTTGATTTTAGATATTATTGTCTGATGCTAATATGGAAATACATCACAAATGTTACTATGCCAATGAAGTACTGGGTAATCATTATGGTATACAAATCCATTATAATTATATGATTTGTATAACAATTAGGTTTACAGTACTGTACATGATTTTCACAGATCTATATGGTAGTAATGAAGTGAATCGGGTCAACCAGTAATCCATATAGAGTACTGTACACTGTAGTCATGAGCGACTATATAGATTACCGAGGACGTGCAGCAAGACCTGCCACTCACACTGTCATCCTCCCACTGACAGCACTTCCACAAAGCCTTCTCACACCCACTTCCACTACCTACACCCAACTCCCAAATTCACTCCAGTGTTGAACATAATGAAATGCCAATTTCCGGGCAAGCTCCAATGGCTCCCTTAAGGTATCTCACTGACATAGTTGCAAAGTTCTTAGGCCTACTACAGACCAGAGCTAGAACCTGGCCCCCCCTCAAACCAGGTACAGGAAACTGATAACAGTCTGTCACCTTGCCTGGAAAGGCATTCAGAAAGCCAGTGACCCAAAACAGTCAACTAGTGGGTTCATAAGAGACTGAAGTATTGCAACCCACATAATGAACTCTCCAAAAGTATGTAAACAAACAATTAAATCTCTTGAAACTTGAATGCGTTCAATCACCCCACCTCCTCCACTTGTTCAGGGGAAGGGGAAAAAAAGAAAAGAGAGCCTAGGCACTTCCAAAACCTGAGCCCTTGGTTGTGGAGCAGATACACACACAAGACCCAAACTCACAAAATTGCTGTTTATTATGTACATTCAATGCTACTTTCCGGGGGGAAAGGGAGACCCCCTTTGTGGCTCCGTGAAGCTTCACCCACAGAGGAGAAAAACACAGGGACTTGTCAGGGAGGAAGGAGGCAGTACCACAGGCAATGAAGATGAAGAGAAACATGGTCGAGACACTCAACCCAAGGCCACAAAAGGAAGCCGAGGCCAGGGAACAATAACCGAATACTAGGCCACCAGAACCTGTCAGCCCTCATGCCAGAATGTAACTAAGACATACCTTCATTAGCAACAACAGTCGCTGAAGTAGTGTACTTTCAAACATTATGAGAATGAGGGTATACTGCAGGCTGGCTAGACTTAATGACACTGTGGACGACATGAAAATCACGAGCCGTGGAATAGGGAACCACAGATACCGGATCAACCCATAAAGCATCCACCAAGGCAGAATCAATGATACAAAGGTAGCAGCAGCCACCACTGTAAGAGTATGAGCTTTTTTCCACTCATCCTTATTTAATATAGAGGACAGATCCATACAATCTTGGCAGTATAATCTTGACTAATTACTCAAGATGAACAGGTTAATAATCTTCCACCTACCATCCCCAGTGTGCTGCACAACCAAATGTGCAACCACCCCAATGCAGGTGTGCCATACAATCAAATTTATAACCCCCCCAGGCAGGACCAAGGCAGCCTCAACTGTTTCCTTGGGGTAGAGGCCGGTATGGTCCGGAAAGGAGTTGGTTACAATGTTGGAGTTGTGGGAAGTTTGGCCATGGTTCAGAAGTGTGGCAGTTTTTACATTTCTAAACAGAACAGTTTTGGGGATCCAGCCTGGATGTTAGGGAGGTCTTACTTGTCATGTCTCATGAGCATGTTAGCTAGTTGCATTAGGTGTTTGTTGCCTTCTAATTGCTTAGGCATTGATCATGGTACTCTTTCCTTGTGCCGAGATCAAAGAAAGCTAGCCACCAGAGTTTAACTTGTTTTCCGAGATGCTTAGTGCCTTCCCGATGGAGATCTCCTTTTGAGACATTTCCTATTCAGGGTAGTGCTCCAGAACCATTTCTCGAGCAAGGCCTGTTGATGGGAGATGGTAGTTAATATATGTTTTTTGTAGGTGCCTTTCCCCTTGTGGTGTAGTTACCTATAGGTTTCCTGTGTTCCTTCTCTTTCTTAGTATTAGTCTTTTTTTTTTTTTTTGAGGAACAGTTCTTGAGATGAAGATTCTTGAGGTTATCTTGAGATGATTTCAGGGCTTTTAGTGTCCCTGCGGCCCAGTCCTCGACCAGGCCTCCATCCCCAGGAAGCAGCCCGTGACAGCTGACTAACACCCAGGTACCTATTTTACTGCTAGGTAACAGGGGCATAGGGTGAAAGAAACTCTGCCCATTGTTTCTCGCCGGCGCTCGGGATCAAACCGAGGACCACAGGATCACAAGTCCAATGTGCTGTCCGCTCAACAGTATCAAAAGCTTCCTGGCAGTCCAGGAAGATACAAATACACAATCTTTATTCTCTTGCTTTATTTTGGTGGCCCTGACACAGAAGTCAATCAAGTATGGTAAGCATGATTTTACCTCTTTGAAGCAGTTTGTCTCCCCATCACAAAACATGATCTTCAAATGTTCTACAATTCTTTTTAATAATGCTTTTTTCCAGCATTTTGCATAGAATGCATGTTAGTGATGCTGGTCTGCAGTTTAGTCTATCATGTCTGGCACTTTTCTTGATGACTGGAACAACTGATTTTTTCCAGATTACCAGTACCTCTCTTGCCTCAATTGTTATGCTGAACACACACTAGTTAAGGAGTAATACAGAAGCTTTGCAAATTCCTTCAGCAACTATGGTTATATCTGGTGTGGTCCTACTGTATTGGCTACATCCAGTTCCTCCTGATGTCTTTTTACCTCTTCTACAGTAACTTGGATTCTGTCAAATGTTGTTTCTGGTCATCTGTTGTTACCTCTCTTTGGAACAATCTAATTCTGTTCGTAGACCTTCTGAAGCCTCATCTTGAGTTAGTGCATGCACATATGTGTAATTATCCAAGTGTAGTTACAGAACAAGAGCGGTACTTGTGGTGTTGAAACTTCCTTATAATCTTTGTTCATGACACCTTGAAACTACTAATTGGTTTGGGACCTACCACCACTACACTTTAATAGTTCCAACCGTCTACAACCATGTTCTCTGAACACATCCTTCATATATTTTTAGAGCCACCTTTATTTTCTTAGTTTTAATCTATGGCCTCTTGTTCTTGAAATTCCAGGCTTTAAAAATTGTTCCTGTTAACTATGTCGATTCCAGTAACTGCTTTGAACATGGTGATCATATCACCTCTTTCTTTTTTTTTTTATGTTTAAGGTTTTGCATATTTAGCACTTCTAGCTTCTCCTTGTAGCTCTTGTTATCTAGTTCCAGAAGCCATTTAGTAGCATGGTTTTGCACCCTTTCTAGTTTATTAATAAGCTTCTTGAGATGTCACTACATAACTGCTGCATATTACAATATTCGTCTCATTAATGACATGAACAGTTTCTTTAGTATTTCTCCATTCATATATGTATTTAAATGTGATTTTGAAATATGTATACACACACACACACACTATCACTATCTAGTGATCATATCACTAGAGGTGATATGATCACTACATACAAAATAGTAACAGGAATTGATAAAATCGATTTCTTTTTCTTCCATCTTCTACCTACGGCATATTTAATGCCTCTAGCTTCTCTGTGTTTATGTACAGTGTAATTACCCAAGTGTAGTTACAGGATGAGAGCTACACTCGTGGTGTCCCGTCTTCCCAGCACTCTTTGTCATATAATGCTTTGAAATTACTGACGGTTTTGGCCTCCACCACCTTCTCACTTAACTTGTTCCAACTGTCTACCACTCTGTTTATTGTCTGTTCTGTCTGTTGTATGTGTGTGTGTATGTGTGTGTGTATGTGTGAAATTAGTGAAGTGAAATTACTCGAGTAGTTACAGGACGAGCGCTATGCTCGTGGTGTCCCGTCTTCCCAGCACTCTGTCATACCATGTGTACATGTATCCACAAGCAAGCTGAATGCACACACCCTACACTATTTAACCAAATAAATATGCAATAGTACAGTACCAGTACTTACTTTGTTGATATTGTCTCACTTCCTTTTCTCTCTTTACTCTCTCTCGATCCAGAGCTTCAACACTTCCCCAAACTTGTATTGCTCTAAAATAAAAATAAAAACTTCCTAATTAAATATTTATTATTTACCATGTGAAATAAGTAATGGGGCTTCTCACCATCAAGTCACATACATGGCAGATATATTTAACAAAGCAGTATAACAATAACACAAAGTAGATATGTTAATAATACTATGAATCCATTTCTTTCACATTATAGTATATACTTTAATACTAATACCACCTTAATACTAATATATATATATATATTAGTATTAACCATGCATAGTAAGGTTTCCATTAATTAGATAATCCATCATCTAGTTCATTATCTGGAAGTACAGTTTATAATACTGGGTATTATCTGTATATAAGGATATATATATATTGACTTTACAGAGTAGAATGAAAGGGGTGGCAAATTGTATTTTAGAAGAATGTACCGAGATAATTTGATCAAATGAAGTGAATGGATGATAGACTGGTGAAGACAATGCATTTGGTTGAATTTAGTGGTATAATGAAAAGAAGGAAAGAAAACAGAGATGAATGCAATGAAATGCCAATTTCGGGATGAGCCCCAGTGGCTTCCTGAAGCTACCTCACCAAGATTACTCCCAACTATTAGGTCACATCAGTCGTAGAGTTCTATTTGGCTTACTGGGGACCAGAGCCAGAACATGGACCCCCTCGTCGGGGCACAGATGATGGGCAACGTTCTGCCATCCCCCAAGATAAAGTATCCAGAAAGTCAATGCAATATGGACTACTGCTGGCTTCAAAAGAACCAAAGCCTCAAAAATTGCCAAACAAACTCCCTAAACTATGCAAACAATCAACATTTTTAAACTAGCTCAAAATCGTTAGAACCAAACTACTGCCACCACCGGTCACAAACAATGCACCCTAAGCCAAACCAACCAAGCATCAATAATCTAAGGACCCTCCCCCCCCCAACCTCTTCAGAAGCTCACTGACTCATTCTTCATCAGAAAAGGAGGGGTGAAAACAAATAATACACCCACCAGGGCCAAAGGAACAAAACCTATGCCTATGAAGAAGAGCATGAAGCTCCCCCCACTATACAACCTGAAGCAAGAGCTGACAGGAACACTGGCCCGAGAAAAGAAGACCAGACTGAAAGGAAACCCATAACCCAGGAAGAGGATACAAAGGCAAGGACATGGGCAACAGACCTGGATGACTCAGGAGGAGCACGAGCAGGCCATAGGTATACAAAAGCCCAAGATAATGTACGGAATGTTGCTGACGCAGTATTGATGCGAAACACAAGCAACAGCAGCTCTGCCAGTGTTGAATGATAAGATGTGACAGTATTAGGTATAAAACATGACAAAACTCCATGCACCAGGGCCACTTGCTGTAAGAACAGTCACCAAATGCAGTCAAAACAACCAGGCTATGAGTGGTGACTGCAGCGCACCATATAAATAAGCACGCAAACCTCAGTGCTTCCCAGCACAACCAAAAGAATGCCCCCAATCATGGGTCCATTGAGGAATCAGGGATGCATGAATAGCCCAAGGTGATGTGCTCCACCCAAGTACCCAGGCCTCTAAGGGGGTAAACTAAACACACCAGAGAAAGAAACTGACAATGCAAGGGTAGCATTTGCAGGTACACAGAGAAGAAAACCCAAGTACATGCAGCCCGAAATGCCACAAGAGCCAAACCCACACAACAAGCTGGAGCCAAAACATGCACATGAAGCCAACACAAAGTTGAAACAACACACAAAGCAAATGTCTCCACAGAACAACCAAGTAAAATGTCTCCACAGAACAACCAAGTCCAAGGATGGTCAGCACGTAGCGTGAAGCAGCAGAGATTACCTGTGATCTGACAGACCAGAAACACTATGAGGAATACAGTACCTCAGTACGGCATCAGCAACAGAACTGAGGTGGGACGTCGACGAGTACTGGGGCTGTAATCAGTTTGAGTGTACTGGGGCTGTAATCAGTTTGAGTTAATCTCTCATTCTGTGTGAATAATATGTGGAGTTGTTTGGCAGTTTTGAGGCTTCATTTTATGTGAACTCTCCAGTTGTCTTTAAAGCTGCCCTACTTTCTGGAGGTTTTCTGGTGGGGTGGCAGAGTGCCACCCAATACCTTGCATTCGTGAAGGGGGTCCAGGTTCTGGATCCCTGAGACCAAATAGAACTTCTGCAACTGACATGATCGTCTGGAATGGTGCAATATCAGCAAGATAGCTTCAGGGAGCTATTAAAGGGCTCCCTCAAGAAAATTCAACTAACAGATTATATAGCTTATAGTTTAATATGTCTTATCACTTATTATAAATACATTACAGTACAGTACATGCAATAGGCAAATACTTAACTTACTTGGCCTCTACATCCTTTCTCCAATACACAGTGATAGGAGGTTCATTTTCAAAAGGGGAGCGTCTTTTGGTCTTGCGAAGATTTTCCAGATCAGACGGCTTTAACAGAAACTCTGACATTGCACGGATAGCAGTTATGAAGTTCCGTTCAGTCGATGGATGAGATGTATCAAACTTTACTCGTTCTTTTTTACGAGGAATGACTGGAATAATAATTTTGGCACATGAAATTTTTAATGCAGAGTTGATCTTGTAAATTATGATACAGTACCAACTAATCCTAAATAAAATTATTTATACAGTATATAGCAAGCCTATGAGAGATACATTTAAGTGATACCAATGAATGGGGAACTACAAATTTCTATAACTGAGAGTGTAAAAGCCCTTCCTTGAGTGTAATGATATGTCTATTTGGAAGGATCTCAGTGGTTCCTTTGAGCTATAGGGGAGCTACCAAGTGGCTCCTCCAGAAAGACAAATAGCTTTCTAACACTAAAATCAGGCTTTGAGTTGTGAACAGTGTGTTTTTTGAGCAGATTATTCAACCACTTCCTGAAGTACGGTATATAATCTGTTGTGCACGAAAAGAATAATATAGTTAGGAAGACTCACATGATACACGGTGCCAAAAGGATATTTTTGAAAACATCTTTTTAGGGTTATGAAAGATGCTAGGAAGTCATTAGATAAAGTATCAATCCCACCATGAATGACAAACAAAGGGAAGTTTGAAACTAAAGCCTAACAGAATCTCCAACCCTCTCCCATCCTATTTCCCAGATATCAAAATGTGGCCATCACCAACAGGCTTTGAAAAAAACCCATCACCACATTTGCTTACCTATGCTAGCCACCACCAGGTGGCACCACCATACCTGGCTCCATACACCTAACCCCGATATGCTTCCTGACTCATGGAACCCCCCCCCCTCTTAGCATAAATATAGAGGAACAATAAAGGATGGAATGGAAACAATGATAGGGTCAAAAGGAACTTTTCATAAAGAACGTTCATAAGTTCATAAGTCGTTCATAAGTTTCTGAACCTGTTCATTCACAGCCTACATATTCAAGGCCAACACCCCTAGTACCCACTGACCAGCAAATGCAGCTTGGGCTAAAACATAGACAGCATGCTAGCAAGGCAAACAAACCAGAGACCCAAGGCACTCAATGAAGGACTTTACAGCACCCAACCAGGGATCCCTAGAGCATGTAACTAAATAATACAACCATTATCCAATACCCATCTATATTATAATCAAGTATCAGGTCACTTGAAGTTTTCAAAACTATAATCTAGTATCGGGGATCACCTATTACTATAAGCTACCTTAGATGAATATTAAACCACATTTATGATTATAAATACAGTACCTATATTCCAATATATCACTAACGTTTAACAATAATGATTGGAAACTGCAGATTACCTGTATTCAAATTTTGATTTATTCTACACACCCAGCTTGGGGTCAGACCTCTTTGGTGATGAACTGCTCTGTCAGGCTGTTACTTGCAGTTGCCTGTAGAGTCTGGTACATGTTCCAGACATGTTCCCCCCTCTTTTTATCTCTATTTTTATTTGTTCTCAACACATTTTATTCTTTATACTCAATTAGTATTAAGATTTAGTCATTAATGTTTTTCATGCCCGAAACGCTTTGCGTAATAGTGGCTTTAGGCATTGTATGTACTAGCTCTATCTATAATTCCATCAATCTTTGTAAAATCTCTTGTATGTACCTTACCTAAATAAACATTTATTTATTTATTTATGTACATGCCTGTAGAGTCTGGTACATGTACTTGCCTGTACATGTCCATTAGTGTTCTACTGATCCTGGTACTTCCAGCAGGAATTTGTCCATCTGTCTCTTGAAAACTTCCACTTTTATTCCGGCAATATTTTTTGCACTTTGTGGAAGGAGTGAAGTACCATGGGCTTCTGGTATTCATAGTTTGTCAATTGTGTCTATGGCACCTTTACTCTTCAATGGGTCTATTCTGTATTTCCTAACATATCTGTCCATCTTCTGTGTTTGAAGTTGTCTAATAAACACATCAGGTCCTGTTTTGAGCTCTCATAATCAACTTCATGAATATCTAGGTTTGACAATTTTCTCAGTCTTGACACGTTCAAAATGTTTAAACCTAATGACTTGTTAGAGCGCTTGCAGAGCCTATTTGTGCACGTAAAATTAATACTGTATATTGTACTAAATTTGAAGTTTCAATTTTGGTTTTATTTACTTTTAACTCATTTCGATTATTTTGTATTTTTTTATATGAACAGCAGCTTTTTCTACTCATGTAGAACACCTCCAAAATGTTTCATGCTTTATATCAAAATGCACAACATGCATAAATACAAGCAGAGAACCGACACATGTCGACAGTATGTCGAGTCCTTTCCAAAAAATAAATAAAATAATTATTTAATAAACGGAGTAACAATTTAGGCCAACATTTAATTTTAGAATTACTGCACTGTAGATCCTTTATATCATGCTATAACAGGAATAACAATCAAATAAAAAAAATATATAATTTCAAATTTAAGAAAATGATCATATTGCCTGAAAAGACAAAAATATTACATGAAAAAGTACAAGGACTAAATATTATGCCTTATACGAACCTTTAATAACAGCTTCCTTAAAGCGGGAAGTGGCTGACGGAGGGCTTGGAGGATCAGGGACTGCTTTTTTTGTAGCACTTCCATCACCATCTGAGGATGTGCTTGTGCCTGGGGGCTGATTAAGGGTGGCCAGTCTATGACATAGCTGAACTAAACGAACTTGCTGATACCGGCTATAACTACACCCAATCCTGCATTGTTCGATTCTGAGAGTGGGACGACCTATAAAAAAGATTTATAACCAATTAATACAATATAATGCAAATGAAGGTATGGTTAAGTATTAGCTTTGCTTATGTTAACAGGCCTATTATATGTGGTTTTCAGGGACCTCAATTTCGTTCTTTTTCTACGCATTACTCAAACATGTTAGGCTTATATCGAGGTTCCCCCCCCCCCCCAAGGTTGAATTACTGACCTTTCCCCAGGATGCAACCCCCAAAACAAGTGAACTGACTTCTGAGTACTGTACCTACTTATTGCTAGGTGAACAGGCGCATTAGGTGATAAGAAATGCATCCAAGCATTTTTGTCTCGCCTGGGATTAGTACCCGAAATTCTCGATTGTGAATGAACGAACCCGACTTTACTACCGGGACCTTGTTATGTTATCGTATGAATTAAGGGGTTGGTTTGATGAACAGCTTTTACTGCCAATATGGTATAAAGCAAACTGAACAGTATGACTTACCAATACTGGAAACAGCTCTTCTACCATGATGGACTGTATCCCTCAAAATAAAGTTCAAGACTTTAAAGCTGCTGGGATACATAGTTGAACCTAACAAAGAAAGAAATTTTATAATGAGCTGTAATAAGTGGAAATTAATAGATAATATCATAGTTGTAAATAATGAAAGTCAAGAAATAAGAAACCTCCCTTAAGATGAGAGAGTAAGAAAGATGAATTTACATTCTTTAGAATGGCAAAGACTAAGGGGATAAATGTTTGAGGTATACAAAGGGATAAAAGGGTATAACAATGGGGATATTAAAAACTTTTTAAACATACATTATCAGTGTCACAAAACAGAAAAAAGTAACAATAGATACAAAGTGCAAAAATTCAATATTCAAGAAAGACCTAGGTAAATGGTGATTGGAAACAGGGCTGGCGATTATTTTGTTTAAAATAATCAAAATAAAGCCTCACTTTATTTTGGGAATAAAGTGAGGCTAGCCTGGCTCGGGTTAGGCTAGCTTGGCTCGAGTTAGACTAGCCTGGCTCGAGTTAGGCTAGCCTGGCTCGGGTTAGGCTAGCTTGGCTCGAGTTAGACTAGCCTGGCTCGAGTTAGACTAGCCTGGCTCGATTTACGCTAGCCTGGCTTGGGGGTTAGTATGATTTAAAATTAATGAGGTGTATCCTTAGCAACTCACTCTGGTATGATTGTGATATTGAAGCGTTCCCGTAGTACTGACACGGTCTTGTGTTACCGAGTCACTGGTGACAGCGTAAGTGCAGACTGGTGCAGGAGTCTTAGTCACTGTCCCTGGTGACTGTCATGGCACTGACAGTTACCTGTCACTGGGACAAGTGGCAGTGACTGCTACACATGACAAGTGGTACTGTTGGCCACTTGTTACATAAGACAGTGCCTGTGACAGGTAGCAGTGCCTGGTGCCTGTGACAGGTGGCAGTGCCTGGTGCCTGTGACAGGTAGCAGTGCCTGTGACAGGTAGCAGTGCCTGGTGCCTGTGACAGGTGGCAGTGCCTGGTGCCTGTGACAGGTGGCAGTGCCTGGTGCCTGTGACAGGTAGCAGTGCCTGGTGCCTGTGACAGGTAGCAGTGCCTGGTGCCTGTGACAGGTAGCAGTGCCTGGTGCCTGTGACAGGTGGCAGTGCCTGGTGCCTGTGACAGGTGGCAGTGCCTGGTGCCTGTGACAGGAGCAGTGCCTTGGGCCTATGACAGGTGGCAGTGCCTGGGACCCGTGACAGGTGGCAGCGCCTGGTGCTCGTGACAGGTGGCAGTGCCTGGTGCCTGTGACAGGTGGCAGTGCCTGGTGGCCGTGACAAGCGGCAGTATCAGCGTGGGAGAGGGAGGCACTGACCGGCACTGGCACCCAACACACACTGACGCTGTCATTCACTCGCACAGTTCTGTCGACACCTGAAAATATAATTCAACACTTTCATATATTATATTCAATGGTTTACAATATTTTTTTTAAATCTACTGAATAATTATTTTGGTAAATAGGAATAGTTTAAGAATGCGGCGAAGAGTAAATAAGGCAGACATATTTACCAGGAATTGTTTCGTCACGGCCGGAGTGTTAACGTCTCACGCCACCATAACATTGTCCTGGGACCCTCGCTCTCGGGGCAAGAAAACTAGAACCTCATAAACTTTACAACAAAAAGAGGACATTTTACCACAATCTGCCACGACACAGCCTCTATCTACATCCAGGTATCCAGTAGGTACTATTGGCATGCCAAGGAAACCAGACGTATCCATAACCCAAACATCCTAAATGGCTCCCCTAACCTTCATGACTTGGAACGCAAAAAAGCATTAAAACATCCTTCACAGAACTTAAACAATTCTTTTACTCATTAAAACGGATCTAGCTTTCACAGCCGAATCTTGGCTTACTCCCAAACATAATCCTATTTTAAAAGCTTTCGGATGCAGAGACTGGACAGACCCAATCGTATGGGGGGGGGAGGGGCCGCGGCGTTTTCCTCTTAACACAAGTAATATGACGTGTAAATCTAACACTTACGCATGTTGTGAACGGTAAACTAGAAGCATTAGCTTGCTTAATACCTTACAATGATACACACATCCTTTCTGTGTATGTACAACACTGGCGGCACAATAAACCTAAATGAATTAGAATTCTATCTTGACCAATTATGACACCCACTCATTGTTACAGGAGATCTCAATGCTAACCACCCCACATGGCGTAGAGGTATCCAAAATATTGCAGGCACTGCTCTCTATAACTACTTTATTTATTTATTTATGCATATACAAGAATGTACATAAGGAATGTGAGGATACAATTATGGTAATTACAGTCTTGTAAAGCCACTAGCACGCGCAGCGTTTCGGGCAGGTCCTTAATCTAAGAAAATTTTAAGGAGGTAAATACTTGCAAAATTTATAGACAAAAAAATGATAACAGATTACATGGAATGAAAAAAAAAAGATGAGAGAAAATTATAGGTACAGTATATTAAAGCACATAGGTAGCTATGATTGATTGCAATGACAGCTTAAAATGGTAGTTGACAACAAATTGGTAGTCACAATACAGCATATGGCTAGCACATAAAAGAAGACAGCAATGAACACAATGATAAGGTTGTTTGATATTACATTGATAGACACTCCACCATATATTCTTCTTTCACCACCTACCTTGCAACCTACTTTAACTACAGAACCAATTATGAAGCCTCACTTGACATTTGCTTTGGCTCGGCACACTTTCAACATAAAGTACAGTTTCATACTGGAACGTATATTGATAGTGACCACAAACCTCTCATTATAAAATTTACTAACTTTCAGCCACCAACCCATCCCCTAACACTCCCCAAATGGAACATTAAGAAACTAGATAAACATAAATGGGCTGATGTTGTCCGTCTCCCAGATACAGACGATGTAAACCCTAACACACGACTGTCTACAATCACCTCAGCCATAAATTCTTCAGCCACCCAAATGTTCAAGAAAACCTCAGGACATAGGTCTAACAAACCACTTAAACCATGGTGGAACGTGGAATGTGCACGAACAGTAGCTTTACTCACTGATGAGCCATACAAAAACAAAGACGTCAACCCTCCCTACAGAACTGGGTCGCTCTCCGGCGGGCCACAGCAGCAGCCAAAAAACCATACTGTCAGCAAAGCAAGCATTATGGGCAAAATTTTGTGATAGCCTCACTCCCACCATGTCACATTCAAAAGTCTGGGCTACATTTAACAGCATAAAAGGTCGACCAACATTCCCCTGATGATCAACGGCTCACTCTGTCAAACACTAAAGGAGTGTGCACATGTTCTTACGGAATATTTTTTGTTGACCCTCTCAACACCTTTCCCTCATGCTCAAGAACTCTCCCTCGGACAAGAAATTGACCATGCCATATCGCGGCCCATGCACGGCGTCGACAACTTGTACACCTTAAGAGAGCTACAATTAGCCTTAACCCACCTACTTCTAGGCAAGGCACCTGGAGAGGATGGGATTCCATATGAACGTATCAAATACACTTGATCAAATACTCTGCCTTGAACATGAAATCTGCACGTCTCTTAGAAACAGTAAATTTTGTATTGTTTACCTAGACCTTAAAGGAGCTTTTGATAGCATTCCTCATACTTGCCTCTTGGAAAAGCTTGTACATTTAGGTGTACAGGAAAGATTACTTCAATGGCTACAGTCCTAAAGCCCAACTTTTTTTTTTTTTCTGCATTCTTAGCAGATTTACCTACACCCATCCTGTTCACCTCTCGGGGTATGCCGATGATTTAACGTATTATTCAGACAATGCCCTACTTAATAGTCTCAACAATGCAATCAGCACTTGACTACTTCATTGATTGGACACAATAATGGGGCCTCCAAGTTAGTAGTGTACTACCAAAACTTTTTATCAGATTTTCACCTAAAAAAGACTTGTTCATCTACCCACCCTCGCAATACACAACACTCCCATCCAACACATAAGAGAACATAAATACCTTGGCATGCACTTCGATGCGCCCTTACTTACCTGGAAAGCACACATTCAACATCTTAAACAGACAACACAACCACGACTTGCCATACTTAATGCCCTCACTGGCACCACCTGGGGAGCACACCATAAAATTTTACTGTTACAACCTACATCCGCAGCCAACTAGGCTATTGTTGCCAGGCATATGCGTTCGCTGCGCCTACTAACCTACAGAGCCTTGAGGTAATACAAAACAATGCCATGCGACTTATATGAGGCACAATGCGTTCTGCTCCTATCCTGAGCCTTCACAGGGAAATGGGCAGGCAGTGATGGGTGATACAGTGATACTATCATTAGTATCATTAATGTTCCATAGCCCCAGATGTGTCTCTTGGATTGCAAATTCCTTTACTGTTACAAATTTGGGTATTTCCTCTTGTAAAATGTCACCAGAAGCAGAAACAGGCAGTGATGGTATGTCTGCTGAAACTGGATGATTAGGTAGCAAGTAGCAGGTCCATTGGTAGCAGGAACGGATATAGATTTGGATGCTATGTCGAAAGAAACAGTACTAGTGGCTGACATTGTAGGAGTGGATGCTGATGTGGATGCTAAATCTGAAGAAATGTTATTAGTGGCTGTCATTGCACCTGTGTTGAGCCATGATGTTAATTTTGGAAGTTTTCCTATTTTCTCCTCTGCAGCTCTCTTCCTCTTTTGTGCTTCACTCAAAACATTGTTTCATTTCTGCTGAAAGGGTTATTCACCTGGAAATATATATCTTAAAAAATATTTAGTCCCACACCAGGATGTAGGGTTATATAAGTATGTTTGCAACAAGACCTAAATATTTAAACATTCTGCTTCCATAATGAACATGCCCTATGCTCCAGGGACTATTGGGCAAGTGCCCATCAGGCCCATGTGGTAAAACAGCTCTGCTTCTATGTACTACCTGTACTGTATTTTCATTGGGTCATCCATTATCACTTAAGAAATCACTACAGTATTCCTTAGCCATAAGGCTTAAAAGAAACTTTGTGAAACCATTTTAGGAGTAGAGGATATTCTGAAAGAATGCTACAGAAGGCAGTAAGGATATTAAACCAAAAAGAAAGGCAGGATCTTCTACAGCCCCTAGGACATGAATTGTTAATGGGACTTAACTTCCCTTGTCTTGTGTTTTCCTGGTAATGTACACTGTCAATCGACATTCAGCCTAGGATTGGAGCTGTGTACCCCCAATCATGGCGGTAAAGATACTAGGGGCAGTAGGATAATGTCTTGGGTTACACACTGACATATGTACATTATTCAGAACCACTTGGCATGACAGTAATCTGTAATAAAACACATGTATTATATAAGAAAAAGCTTTTGTCATTTGATGTACATTGGCATTAATTTGTATTGCATACATAATTTTGAAGGTTAAGAATACTTTGTGATAATGTATTGCTTGTTTGGTATTGAGATAAGCTGGAATTGGGGATTGTGGATGCTTTCCTTAATTGCAGAAATGTAATAAAGAGCTAGGTCATCTAAGGCCATTGGGGAAGACATATAAAAGATTTGTAATATCAATAAAGTTAATAACTGAGTAGTGGCCAATTGAAATTTAGTTTGAATGTGAGAGACATAAATGTACTGTATGTTTTAACAAAATTGACTCAGCTGAGAGTTAGCTCTGGGGGTCCTTGAAGGGGAAGAATAACTATTAAGTGATTGAGTAATTTATTTTGCTTCTGTATGGTGTATATGCTTGCTGAAATGCACTCTTTTTGTGTGTCAAACTACAGTAATTAGCAAGATAATAAATACAAGATAAAATAATGAAATTTACTGCATATAAAATGAAACAAAAATAACAATAATTATTAGATTGTTTAAAAAGTATTTAAATTAACATTACTTTGGCTAATATTTTCATATTACAGTAAAATAATATATTTTGCAGCTAGGATGATATCGCTTAATAACTCAGTGCGCGTGTCTGGAGAGGAGCCAGACCCTGCACGTGAGGAAAGGTCTGGACGTGTTCGTGAAGTTGGAAGTCAAGCAGTGTGGTCTTTATCGTCTTGCAAGCCAGGTTTGTCAAGAAAATTTTCCTATTATTTAATTCATGTATGTGTATTTTACCAACCAGCAGTGAATCACTGCTCATTTCATTTTTGGAATCTTGCTTAAATATATTGTATTGTACTGTACTGTATTTTTAAATAAAACAAATTTTTAATGTTTAAGTAAGAAACCTAACTACTGTACAGTGTACTGTAATCATATTTTGTACTTTGAAACTATTTCTTTTAATATTCACTATTTATTATACAAGGCTTTGGTGTAGAGCAGTTACGTGATGATTGTCTAGATACATATTGGCAGTCGGATGGACCTCAACCTCATCTTGTCAACATACAGTTTCGTCGCAAGACAACTATACAGGATGTTTGGATATATGCTGATTATAAAGCTGATGAAAGCTACACTCCTAGTAGGTATGGCTTATTTTCATGTTCAAAGCTGTTCGCTTAAGTAAGGACTGCTGTATGTGGTATGTGTTAGACAGGATCAGGAACAGTCAGGTGCTAGCACTATAGGGAACTTTTCAAACATTCCCTGAAGGGAATATATGATAGCATTGATATTTTCTATTAGCCTTTAAGTACAATACTAGCTGCTATATACAGTCACAATTTAAAGCAGCAATTTTTAACCTCAGCAAGTAAATCAACAATAATTCTGAAACTTTGTTCTTTATATCAGATCAATCAACCACAAGTTTTTGAACTTTGCCCAATACATTACAGTGCCCAATCTCATAATTGTTTTACTTGGCTAAAGCACAATAAAATAAAATAAAATAAAAGATTTTCTTTTATTAACTCTTAATCCCTTTTATGTAATATATAAAAATTACATATCTCAGAAAACTTCATCACAATCACTAACACGTACTAAATTTTCTGACAATCAGTTGGTTATCTTGAGAGGTTATCTTGAGATGATTTCGGGGCTTTAGTGTCCCCGCGGCCCGGTCCTCGACCAGGCCTCCACCCCCAGGAAGCAGCCCGTGACAGCTGACTAACTCCCAGGTACCTATTTACTGCTAGGTAACAGGGGCATTCAGGGTGAAAGAAACTTTGCCCATTTGTTTCTGCCTCGTGCGGGAATCGAACCCACGCCACAGAATTACGAGTCCTGCGCGCTATCTACCAGGCTACGAGGCCCCCTCGTGGTGGGGTAAGCAAACCAAAAATTTGTACAATTATAAGCCTACCTACAATGATGGTAAAGGAGTCACGCAACATCTGGTTGCCTGGTGAATGATGCAACAATGGGACAAAATCTGTAGGTTTTTATATTTTTAGAAATATTGCAGAAATAGATGACTTGGAAGTAGGATTTTTGTTTAATTTTTTAATCATTTTTACTAAAAATGTTGTTAGTGTTTGTTTATTGCAATTTTATTTTGTATCTCTTAATAAAATTGTATTTTATTACGTTAAAATATGCAACTCACCAAAGAAGTTGGATATTTATTTATTTAAATGATTTTTTTTAAATGAGCCCTGAGTTTTGCTTGCCAGAAAAAAGTTGATAGCATGCCACAATTGGCACATACTAGGGGTTACCCCACCCTTGCCCAAATGAAAGCCTAAGTGATAAAATTGATTAAAAATCCAGTGTTTTAACTCCCAAATCATAGGGAGTAGTCACTTGCTCTGAATCGGGCATGAAAGGGAAGGGTGTGCTGGCAGTAGACTGTGTGACTTGAGTTTATTTGGGGGATACTTTAAATTTTGGTTCATCTTAGTATTAGGTTGATCTCTGATTCCTAACCTTTCCTTGCCTGTGTGAGGGAGCCAGATTCTGGTCCTGTTTTTTCAGTAAGCCTTTGAAAGCCTTTTAGCTTTGATGTCCAAAGGGATTGTTATTAGCTGGCTTTTAGCACAAGGAAGTCACCGAAGGGTCGAGCACAGAAAAGGTTTTTCCAGCCACAATTAAATTGTCATTTATACTTTTTGTTTTCATCAAGTTCTCTGTTATCAATTCCATCTTCTTTGGATAGGTTTCAAGTACATCACCCATTTGTTTATTGTTGGTAAGGATCACTTAGAGGTGATGGGCCTTTCCCTTCTCATAATAGCTAAGTTTCCTCTTATATTTATATAAATTTAAGTAATACAAGAATATGTAGCTAGATAGGATGTATACCTAGGTTTTTAAAATACAGTAATAAAAAATTCATTCAGTATCACATTGAAATATATGTACTAAAATTAGGAGAGTTTCCAAATACAATACAGTATAATTTTGTTCACTTCTGTAATGCCTTGTATTATCTACTTGTATATAAGTATTTTTTTTCAATTTAATAAACTACTTGGCCAAAATGAAGTAAGTAGAACTTTTCCCTTGCTGGTTTATCTTACAGAATCTCCATTCGTTGTGGAACTCACTTCAATGATTTGCAAGAAATTGAAGTGGTTGATTTGCATGAACCAACAGGATGGCTTCTTATTCCTTTGAAAGATATACATGAGCGTCCCATCCGTACCTATATGGTCCAGATTGCAGTATTATCAAATCATCAGAATGGAAGAGATACACATATGAGGCAAATAAAGATTCACTCACCTGTTGAAGACAAGGCTGTTGCTGTGGAGAGTGTTGGAGCATTTACATCATCGGCATTCAAACGATATAGCTGCATTAGATGATACCTCATTACATTATAGCTTTCAGTCATAGTAATAGCTTATATACAAAACACACACATTACATAATATTGCAATGTTTACATTAATATGACTTTGTTTAAAGGCCTCTTATTTTATACAGCATTTCATGGATTTGATTTGTACATAAATATATACATATAGATTATACCCTAAGTTCTTCCATATATTCAATTTATCTGTACCTGTACCTAATAATTTAGTATATTTTTCTACGTGTAATTGAGAGAAAACAAATGATGGGAGGAAATGTTCAGTGTAATAAAAGTAGCAGCTAGTACTGTACTGTGATTAATGAATTAATTCCACAGGAGTTGATGCTGCAAATTGGTTTTACAATTTGTGGTTGACATTTGAACCTGGGTTGCAGGCAGAGCTGGCTAAGGAGTGAAGTGACTGTCTATTGACATATTCAGTGTGAACTTGGTGCCTAATGTTTAAGACATTATGTATGCTTGCTGTAGATTATGGCTTTTTAAAGGATAAATGTATTGTAGGTTGGAAGTACAAACTTTTTAATTTCTTACGTGATATTTTTGTTATGGTTTTAGCAGAATGTGTTGCTAAAGTTGATTTACTAGCAAAATGTCTTATTTATGTTCTCAGATTGATCAGTTTATCATTGTGGAGCATGTAACTCTCTGAGATTATTACAGCTCTTATATAATAGCACTAACTATTCTATATGAGCTTGATACTAGATAAAAGAACCTCAAAATGGGCTGATAACCAAGATATCAGATGCTGCAGGATAACGTGACCAACTTGGTGCCCATTAGCATGTGCAAGATGTTCAACTGCTGCATCACCATCAACAAAAAGCTTTTGGTTTAATGTGTGGTGACAATCTTATTTTGAAGCTGTTGATAACAGACATGTTTTTTAATGGTCCAGACTTTCTTAATTGTGATTCTTTAATTTACAAACATTTAAATTTTTGTTTCATTATATACAGTAACAGAGATTTTACAAGTCACAAAACTTGACCTGACTTCAATAGCTCTGGCTTATACAGTATGTAGGTTTAATTTGGTTAAAGTTTACTGTATTGATTATAAAGAAGTAAAATTATTTTAAAAGGAAATTTAAGTTTTATATATAAACTTTATATGTAAAATATATTTTACATATAAAGTTTAAATGCCTGTATGCATCAGTTATTAACATTGTTATGGATAGCAGAGTAGTGATGAATTTACACAATTTATCTTGAGTGACATTATAGATAGTATGTTACAACCCCACTTGTATGTTCTTAGCTTCTACACATTTGTTTTTGAACATAAACAGTGACTGCTTTGGTCCAGCACAGCACAGAGTACTGTGCTGGCACAGAGTCCAGCATGTGCCCCCTTGAACATATTTTTCAGGTGATCATTCAAAAGTACTGAAATTCGGGCAGTTGATACGTTTGAGAATGGCTTTAGGTCATCTCCTCAAAGCAGGGAAGTTCCTTAAAGAGAATAAGGCACTGGAGAGAGATTCAACTGTAGCTGCTCTGTAATTTTGTAATTTTGATTCCAAGCCAGATACATGCAGAATCCATATTGGATTTCAATATTTAGTTATTATTTCAAGACTTTACCAAAAGGAGAAAATAAATGGCTAAAATTTGTAGTTATTTATTTTCCATTATTTACATAATTTTGTGCACTAATATTTCTTACAAATATGTAAGAGAACTATCTTCTTGCATGGGTATTGTAAATTTAAGTTCAGATGATGTTAAATTCATCAGAAAAATGTGTTCTGTACAAAGAAAGAAGAGCAAGTTTGCAAGTACATTCATACCTGTTGAGGACAAGCTCTTCTGAATATATAATCTAAAATTTTTGTAAGTCAAGCCTGGCCTCGGGCCGGGCTTGGGGAGTAAAACAACTCCCAGAACCCCATCAAGCAGTTATGTATGCAAGAAACAATTGGTGCTGATAAAAATTGGCGTGTGTGCTGCTTAATTCATTGGTAGTCTATTTTTTTCATGTTGATAATGTAAAATGGCTTTGATATTTCATAGTTTGTGTGTTAATGAAGTGGAAATTACTTGGTACATTCCCCTCTGCTGCCTGCTGTAACATTGCACAAGAGAAACACATTCCTGTATGTTAACCATGTATGGAGACCTGCACATTCCCTTATGTTCCTTCATCTGGAAGTGGAGTCTCCCTAGTCTCTGCTGCGGCCCCCTAGAGGGAAGCAACACACTTCTTTGGTGAGGGGACGTGGGTAAAATTGGAGGTTCAATGTGGCCCACCTGTCATTTGGTTAGCCCACTTAGTTAGACATTAGGTCAAGACCAGGTGGTGGGCCCAGACCAGGCATTGTCTCAGACTTCTCCAAATCTGTTCATCCGCACATTCCTTTGACAGGGTTGACTATTTTATCTTCTGGGATGGCTATACCTCTACTTGTGACCATTGCACCATATACCCCTCTCCTTTATGGAGGTTCACTCTGCTGTCACCAAGCTCATACATATTTGATTCCTTCTACCATTGCCAAGTTCCAGGATTTCTTTGGCCCCGCTACATGGCCCAAGTATTTCTATCAGTCACAATTAACAAACATGCCCTGATATTCATATAAGCACCTCATTGACAGTGCAGATTCCCACATTACTTTTAACCCCACCTGGACTGAAATACATGTAGTTTTGGCCCCTTCTCAGGAGGCAGCTACCTGCCTAGCTATTTTGTCCTGTACTGGTGATACGTCGGTTCAGGTGTCCAAAAATACCACAGAACACTAGCATGGCAGAGTCATTATCTCCAGCTGCAACATGGTGCAGGAGAGAGCCCTCAAAGATTGCCATTATATTAAATATATCCTCATAGCCCAGGGCTTTTCTATCCTCCAGATTAGCAGATTACTCATTCCCCTTGTGGTCATCATCGTCAACCTCCTCCGAGTTGTTAAGATCACTTTTGATGATAGAACCCTTCTGTCTTCAAACGTCCTTCTTGTCAGTGCTAGATGCTCCGTTCAGTACTATATCTCCCTTCATGCCTCTGCAATAGATGCTGGATATTTGGTCATGGTTCTTTAAGATGCAGTAGCAAGATGTCCCTTTGCCCCTTGTGTGGTAACCCTGGACATTCTCGTACTGATTGCTCTTTTTTTTTTCTCCAAGCCTGCTGCATCATCTGACATGAGACCCACTTTGCCTTTTCCTGCACATGCGTGCATTGTAAGTTCGAACAGGCCATCCTTGCCTTGAAGCATCACAATTGTACATTTTTCCCAAGGAGTGGCACCAGGTCCACTGTTTTCATTCTTTCAATAACATTGCTTATGCTCACGTGTTGCATCACACTACTATTCCCCACCCTTCAAAAAGAATGAAACAATGACGCTGAACTATGAGACTTACAAGTGGGGGAAGTAGGGTGAACCAGCTCAAACAAGTTCCGCGAGAATTCAATCATTTGCTTATATAGCTAGTGGAGTTTTTTCTGCCTTTTATGAGGCTTTGGTCTTTTTTTTTTTTTTTTTTTTTTAAATCTAGCAGTGATATTGTTTTGACTGATTGACTTTCTGGTTGCCTTCCCCAGTGAGGTGGCAAAAATAGATGTCACTGCTCCCTGTACTTCTGAGAGTAGGCTGGGTTCTGGCTCCAGTCCCCAGTAGGCGTCTAGAACTCTATGGCTGATATGACCCAGTATATGGCAACCATCTCAGCATATAGCATGAGGGAGTCACAAAGGGCTTCCCCCGAGAAATAATAGTGCTCAGAACATTGCCATGGGAACACCTTCATATTGTTGAAATAGTCTGAGAAAGCAATACCAACCCTCACTTTAAATGAATGGCAAAAGAGGTACCCTTGACTAAAATGGCTAAATCTGTATTCTTTTAATCTGTATTCTGAATCTAAATCTGTATTCAAGCCTGTGACTTGTGAGTGTTTGGTCCACTAGGCTTTTGCTTGGAGTGCTTGCTCCTCATTTTTACCGTACCTGAGTACCTGGAATTTATCACTGTTAAACATCATGTTATTTTCTGTTGTCTGTCTGTTTGAAATTTTCTAAATTTCACCAAGAAATGTACTTCCATGTGCCATGGGAGGCACAGTGTGAAACAGAGTGGAGGGCAACATCTAATAATAGGATGGAACAAGGTAGAAGCAGATCAGATAGGCTGGCAAGAGTAATGTGGAGTGTGAAAAGATTACAATCTGCTTTATCAAATTGCCACCAAGGGAAAGAGGAGGATGGATAGAAAAAGGGGATAAAATCACCCAAAAGGAGCAAAGGCTCTGGCAATGAGTTTAAGATTGAAAAGAGAATGTGGAATATGTGGTGAGGGTGGGGGGGAAAAAGATAAATGGAACAGATGAACAAATCCACAAGGGCCGTGAGGAGGGTTCGAACCTATGTCCGAGAGGATCCCAGACGCACCTTAATCAACTGTGCCACGACATGGTAAAAGAATTGCAACCAGGAGCTCAACTGACCTCACACGGATCCTGCAGTCTCTCCAAGACACAAACCAGGGTTTTATAGCTTATTGATAGCCCGGGTGCATGGGGGGAATTGTGTAAAACCCTAGTTTGACCATTATCAAGTTGATTGTGATGAGAGAAAGGAGGCAAAGGCAATAAATAGGCGAGATAGGCGAGGAGAAGGAAATCTTGGAGGAAGAAGAAGCAAGGCATCAGGTACGGAAGGTAAGGTGTAATAAAGGGGTAATAATAGGAATAAGGGAGCGTAAGAGAAAACAAGAGAAAGAAACGGAAAAAGAAGGGTAGGCTTATGTTAGGTCACATCTGTTTGAAAGTTTAGAACATTTGAGTATATACTGTGAAAGGGAAGAGTCAACAGCAACAAAGTCAGGACTCAAGTTTATGTTGGGTATCAGCCGATTCAACAAGATGGCCTCTGTGAAGAGTAGAGGCAGGAAAGATTATTTTAGAAGAAGACCAATCAATAGGATGATTAGAATCCCTAACATGACAGAGGAGAGCATTGTGTCTGCAGACTTAACACTTCTTTTGTGTTCCTTAACACTTTCGCGCTCTCCGCAAAGGTCACTCAGCCAACCGAATGTGCGCGCTGCATTTTTATCGCTTAAGCGTAAAAACAAAAATGTGTATACTCTTTTTACTCTTTTGACCTTAGTTCTCATGCTACGTATTTCATTTTGGTACCAACGTGTTCGCAATAAAATTCTCTAGAAGAACATTAGTAAATTAAGTCACGAAACATATAGGGATACCAGCACCAAATAAATAACTACGAAGATGACTCGCCGTGAGCGCCCATCAGCAACAAAATGTTTTTACTCTTGGGATTGTAATCACCTCCACACTTGTTCTACAGCGTTAATTTTGGTATCAATGGACTCGCAATGAAATTCCCAACACGGTGATATGAATATAAGCGTAGAATAATGATGCAGCCCGCCCGCAAGAGTGTGGGAAGTGGTGAAATTGTTACCCAGTATCGGTGACGGGACGACGCACGGCGCTTTGAAAGTTTATACTTTTTTCACTCTCATGACATTAATTTTCTATGTACGTCATTCATTTTTATGTCAATGTGTTCGCAATAGAATGTTCTATGTGCCCATAGGTAAAAAATATCAACAAAGCGTAAGTTAGAATAGCGACAAATATAAAACAACGCTGGAACATATCAGTGAGCGTCAAACACACACGAAATATTTTTACTTTTGTTATGTTTGTCAAGATTATACTTGTTGCACACAGTTTTTTTGGTTGTATATTGATCGGAATAAAATTCCCTAAACAGACATATCCATATAATACATGATATGGGGGAAGAATTACCAGTATAAACGGCTAAAGTCACCCACCTGCAACCCGTTTGGGACAAAATACCATTTGATCGAAGTTATCCACACCTTTCATGAACTTATTGTACCATGCAGCCTAGTGGTGAGAAAGAGAGCCTCATAGCGCGCAGTTTGAAACAAACCCAAAGTAAATCGGATAAAAATTGAATTTTATACAAATATTTTAAAAGTAGACATAACTTTATGTCCACTATGCGTTTACGTTAGACGAAACCGAACGCGCCGGCGCGTCCAGATAGCGCGAAAGTGTTAAGTCTGCCATTAAGTGTACGGCCAGTTAGATATGTAGTTCCAAAGTGTCTAGACACAAGACAAAATCTGCTCAAGGAATTAAGACAGAAATATAAGAGTCTGGCCAGATGGAGCCTCATTAGGTGCTACCAGAATGCCCATCTGAGATTAGCGCCCCTACAACACATTATTTTACAAAAAGAGGAGCCTCATATTAGGTGCTAACGAAATGCTCATCTGAGATTAGTACCCCCCACAACACATTATTTTACAAAATGAGAACCTCACAGACATACAAAAAATGGCAAACATAGTTCCAACTCATAAAAATGAAAACAGATGCTAATATGAGAGTAAAAGGATACAAGACAAGCAATGTCAAAAACCGTCAAATTCACCAAGAATTTTTTTTGAAGGAAAAGCAACTCAAAGTGACTTAAGGATAATAATTCTAAGGACTTGCTCTTATCCATATAATTTTATATAACAATGCAAAATTTAAAAAAACCTGGTTTGCATATCTCATTACAGTATTTTCTCAACAAACATTGGGGCCAATTATTTTATCCCTT